GCACAACTAGGGACCAAGGGGAAACTGCATATGGAATTTGAGAAAGATCCATCCAGTGGACTAAGGGGAAACTGCATATGAAATTTGAGAAAGATCCTTTCAGTACTTTCCAAGAAATAGCAGTAAAAAACTTTTACTTCCAAAATCCAAGATGGCTGCCTGTCGGCCATCTTGAATTCGAATCAGTCCAAAAAAGGTACAATGCACAACTAGGGACTAAGGGGAAACTGCATATGAAATTTGAGGAAGATCCATTCAGTACTTTCCAGGAAATAGCAGTAACAAACTTTTACTTCCAAAATCCAAGATGGCTGCCTGTCGGCCATCTTGAATTCGAATCAGTCCAAAAAGGTATAATGCACAACTAGGGACCAAGGGGAAACTGCATATGAAATTTAAGGAAGATCCATCCAGTACTTTCTCAGAAATAGCGGTAACAAACTTTTACTTCCAAAATCCAAGATGGCCACCTGTCGGCCATCTTGAATTCGAATCAGTCAAAATAAGGTACAATGCACAACTAGTGACCAAGGGGAAACTGCATATGAAATTTGAGAAAGATCCATTCAGTACTTTCCAAGAAATAGCAGTAACAGGCTTTTACTTCCAAAATCCAAGATGGCTGCCTGTCGGCCATCTTGAATTCGAATCAGTCCAAAATAGGTACAATGCACAACTAGTGACCAAGGGGAAACTGCATATGAAATTTGAGAAAGATCCATCCAGTACTTTCCAAGAAATAGCAGTAACAGGCTTTTACTTCCAAAATCCAAGATAGCTGCCTGTCGGCCATCTTGAATTCGAATCAGTCCAAAATAGGTACAATGCACAACTAGGGACCAAGGGGAACCTGCATATGAAATTTGAGAAAGATCCATCCAGTACTTTTCCAGAAATAGTGGTAACAAACTTTTACTTCCAAAATCCAAGATGGCCACCTGTCGGCCATCTTGAATTCGAATCAGTCCAAAAAAGGTACAATGCACAACTAGGGACTAAGGGGAAACTGCATATGAAATTTGAGGAAGATCCATTCAGTACTTTCCAGGAAATAGCAGTAACAAACTTTTACTTCCAAAATCCAAGATGGCTGCCTGTCGGCCATCTTGAATTCGAATCAGTCCAAAAAGGTATAATGCACAACTAGGGACCAATGGGAAACTGCATATGAAATTTAAGGAAGATCCATCCAGTACTTTCTCAGAAATAGCGGTAACAAACTTTTACTTCCAAAATCCAAGATGGCCACCTGTCGGCCATCTTGAATTCGAATCAGTCAAAATAAGGTACAATGCACAACTAGTGACCAAGGGGAAACTGCATATGAAATTTGAGAAAGATCCATCCAGTACTTTTCCAGAAATAGCGGTAACAAATTTTTACTTCCAAAATCCAAGATGGCCACCTGTCGGCCATCTTGAATTCAAATCAGTTAAAAAAAAGGTACAATGCACAACTAGGGACCTAGGGGAACGTGCATGTGAAATTTGAGAAAGATCCATCCAGTACTTTTCCAGAAATAGCGGTAACAAGAATTGTTTACGGACGGACGGACGACGGACCATGGACGCAGGGCGATTTGAATAACCCACCATCTATTAGATGGTTGGCTAAAAATCAAGAAAAAATCACATTTTTCTTTATTTAATTGATCGTAACTTTTTTCTGATGCCAAATTTGACAAATAATGTTTGCTTAAAATGACAAATAGATTCCAATGAACAAAATAAGTGGTTATAAGAAGCCTTGCGATGAACCCTTGCCTTGTTATGGAGCCATTTCTGAACCTTACCTTATACCCTCAGTTAATGTCACAAATTCTATAATAATTCAGGCCCTATGGACCTTTTGAAAATTTTATGTGCTATTTCCGCATGGTGTATTGGGGTGCTATAAATGCAACATGGTTTGGATTAAATTGGGTCGTGGGCAAAATTCCATTGTTCGTGAAAGAGGTCCTTTCCAGTAAATAGTCTTGGTTATGATGCACTAGCAATATATAAATGACTTAACCACCATAATATCATTCCTACTATCTGACACAAAAAATATTTTGATGATCAATATAAAACATTTCACTCCTCATTAGTTCTAATGAAGTGGTGTTTACAGAAGTCGTGCACATCACTCCCTGTCACAATCAGAGGGACAGTTCTTGATTTGAAATAATTAAGGTAATTTATGTTTTTGGTAAATTGCTGTGAAGATTGATTTGATTCATAAGAAAATTGTTTAAAAAACTTGAAAATTGATTTTGTGGACAAAACAAGGTCTGTGATTATATAAGAACATATTCATCAGTAAATACAAAATATTAAGCTGATGAGGAATAAGACAATTTGATATTGATAACTGAATTTGGGTCATGTGACTAAAGGAGAGACAGACTGATCATCACATTTCATACTTGGATTCCCCATGGCCCTAGATTTCGCATTATTCATTTTGGAACTGATAAGAAAAATAAACGAGATCCCAGATGGATCTTGGTGCCCGCCATTGTTTGATCTTTATATGCTCTTTGAAAATTGGATCTTTTTCTCTCCTTTTCTCTTCTCTTCTTTTGCTCATAATAATGAGACATTTGAACATTCCCTTGCAGAAATTGCGATGATAATCTTTACCTGCGAATTCCAAAATGGCCATCTTGAAGCCATTTTGTTTCTTCTGATCAGTCACAAAATCTAACGAGCACAAGGAGAGACCAAAGGGAACATTAGTATGAAATTTGAGAGATATCCATTCAGTACTTAATAAATAGCAATAACAATCTTTACTAGGCAAAATCCAAGATGACTGCCTGTTAGCCATTTTGTTTTTCTGATCAGTCCCAAACTCAAACAGCCATAACTAGGGACCTTAAAGAACCTATACATAAATTTTGAATTTTGAGAAATATCTATAAAGGAGTTCTCGAGAAATGGTGATAACTTTCAAAGTCAAAATCCAGGGTGGTCGCTTGTGGGCCATTTTGTTTTTTTCTGATCAGTACTAAAATCAAACAGGCACAACTAGGGATGATGGAAAGCATACACATGAAATTTGGGAAAGATCTGTGCTGAAGTTCTCAAGAAATAGCGATAACAATTTTTCATAGTCAAAATCTAAGATGTCTGTTCCAAAATCAAACTGGCACAACTAGGGACCAAGGGAAACCTACATCTGAAATTTAAGAATGATCTATAAAATACTTCTCAAGAAATAGCAATAATAACCTTTCAAAATCAAAAACAAAGATCACCACCTTTCTGCCATTTTGTTTTTTCTGATCAGTCCAAATATAATGGGCGCAACTAGGACATATCATTTAAGATCCATCCATTTCTTCTCAGAAATAACCTTAAAAAACTATCGAATCCAAGATGGCAGCCATTTTTAGTTTTTTGATCAGTCCCAAAATTACATATGGATATCTTGGGACAGAGTGGAACCTACATATTAAATTTGAGAAAGATCCATTCAGTACTTCTAAAGAAATAGCAGTAACAAAAATTATTTACAGGAGGATGGATGGGCCATTGTTGCAGAGTGGTTTGAAAAGCCCAACAGACAGCCATCTTTGATTTTGGTGGTAAATATTCATGAGGTCATTCTTAAATTTTCTATGTAGGTAACCCTTTAGTTATGCACTGTTCATTTTGGGACAAGGAAAGAAAATGCTGAGTGACAGCCATCTTAATTGTAACAATAAAGTTAATTGTTATCACTTTTTTGTTTATATACTAGATAATCATACCCAAGTTTCAGGTTTCCCATGTTCCCTGGTTGTGCATTGTCCATTTTGGGACTGTTAGGAAAAACAAAATGGCCACCAGGATGCCATCTTTTTATTATGTTGGAAATAGTTTGTTACCAGTGTTTCTGGAAAAGTACTGGAAGGATTGCACTTGATTTCAGATGCAAGTTCCCAATACTTTCTGGTTATACGCTATCCATTTTGAGATGAATGACAAAAAATCAAAACGACCAAATGCAGCTTGTTATTGCTATATAAGTACTGGAGGGATCTTTGTGTAGATTTTCCATTGTGCCTTATTGCCCACGTTCAGTGTTCAGAGTATATAAGTAGATAGAAGAACAAGAAAGGGAAAAAAATCCAACTAATTGGTGGATGCTGATATTCTTTGGGGATCTCTTCATTACATCCTGAACCATCCATTATTTGACCTTTGATCACACACTTAGTCATTTCATTTTTCAGCAATGCTTCATAGTATGAAGCTGACCATGACCTCTATATCTAGTGATATTCACTTGCCATTTGATATTGGTCACCTTTACTTCATAATGACATAACAAAATATTAATTATTTAGTGAAATTCTGCTTAGTAAAGATGACCTTCAGCTGAAGGTCACAGTGATCTGTTTGGTGATGTAGTTCTGTGCCAAGTGTCATCAAGATATCTATTGTTTCACAAAAGTTTTGACAGCAAAAAAAGTAGTACTTGAGTTCTTAACCTTTGACCTTGAGGTGATGGTTTTAGTGACCTAATATCAGTACACAGCACACCTACTGCTCCTTTGTAATGTACTTATTTTACCAAAATGTCTGAAGTGACTGAACATTTACAGTCCTGACAAGATTGTTGTATAGAAGGATCAGTATTCTTGCAACATACCTCCCTTCATTGATGAGTAGTTCAGTAGATGTCAGTGATATACAGATAAAATATTGAGTGTTAATACTGGTACTCAACAGCTGTCTTCTGACTGTGATTTGTCCAAGTGGTACATGTTTTGATCAAGGGGATTTTATAAATACTACCATAGAGAAAGTTATATGTGAATGGCATAGTATTATAGCACACATTTATGTGAATCTAAAATAAATCTGAAGTAGAAACAAGAAGCCTTGTACAGCCATAAGTTAACACCATTCGTAGACAGAACGAGTAGGTTTCAGAACAAAGGAGGCGTGAGAGCATGTTCACTTACAAACCAACACGTAAATTACATTTTACAACATTAATTGTTGAGACAAAAAAACTAAACAAGGATATAAGAAATTGCATCATCTTTTATTTTAAATAAAATTCTAGTTCTCAAGATTTGGACGATATGTTTATGCAAATATTTCACATTATATTGCACTATAAAACATCTTGTCACACTTGATAATGGCAAGTTAACCTGTTTGAAATGTTGACTCCTGTTCATCATATTATAGTTTTCTCCTCAAATCGGAGGAAACTTCAGCTTTTAAGTATCCACAACCTTTTCAGTTCGAATCAGTTCGAAACACTTCACTATTACACAGGTTTCAGTGAGTTGGTTCTCAATAAATAATTCAATGGTGAAACAGAGAGTTCCTAAACTAATGGTGATGATAGGGATTCAGAGTAATATATCTTGTCGATCAACCATCTTACCAATCTCTCCAGGTACATAAACATCTCTGTAACTTTCTCAATAGCTCCTTCCAAATAGTGTGTAATATTTGGCATCCTTTGAACAACCTGGGGTGATGCACTTTGTACCGCTAGCCATCTCCTTTGGCTGCTGAAAAGGGATACACAGCCCTTTGGCTCCCATAGCTGGTGCTCCTTCCTCCACCACAGCATCCCTGGAAAAAAAACATATCCCTCAGAAAACCTCTCTGTACATGTTTTAAATGTTGGGGCCTTTGCTTGTTATCTTTGGATAGCAAAATTTTTATTACCACATTCTATTTAAAGTAAACACAGAATAATAAAAGCACAGGAATATGGTTTTTTTGCCATCTTGATGTTGGAACAATATCTAACAGTACTCAAAATATTTGGTGACAATGCAAAATGTGTACCTGGCACTATCTTTTTTGATCTTGTCCTCGCAAGGAATTGCTCCACAAAATGGAGCCTGGATGATCTTCTTATCGTCTAGGCTGTTGCAGAAGTCCTCCCAGTCATGTGACACTGACATATGGTTGGACAGGTCCTTGTTGGCTCTGTAGTAAAAAAGCCACAATTTCAGATTATGGTTTAAAATCACAGTTTCAGATTACAATTATCTCCCTTCATAAGGTAAGCTTGTAAACTGATGGTTCAATTCAATAATTATTCATAAGACTAATTTAAAGGAACAAATTTGAAGTTCGTCAAAATGAGATATGACTTATGAAATCTGTGGCATGGAGTAGCTGTGAAAAAGAGATTCCAGCAGAAACTGGGATAGTTGGTCAATGATCTTACTTTGCAAACAAACTTTGTTGGATGTCACTGAGAGTATCCATGATAGTTGCTGCCAATTTGTCCATAGAAACAGTTGACTTTGCACCCGAGTCTCGTCTCACGGTGACAGCCTGGCTCTTTTTAATGTCGCGAGGACCTAGCTCAATTCGAAGTGGCACACCCTGTAAACAAATGATGTAATTAAGTTTACAAATCACAAGACAAAATAAGATTCACCATCATGATAACATTGGGTGAAATCTTTCACAAAACTTTGCACAATCTATCATGAAAAGCAAGAAAAATCACATTCATGGCATAACTGCTTGTTCATTTAAACATCTGTTTAATATATCACTGCTCCATCTATCTAACACCTTGTTTACATCATTGCTACATCTATCTAACACCTTGTTTACATCATTGCTACATCTATCTAACACCTTGTTTACATCATTGCTACATCTATCTAACACCTTGTTAACAACATTGCTCCATCTATCTAACACCTTGTTTACATCATTGCTACATCTATCTAACACCTTGTTTACATCATTGCTACATCTATCTAACACCTTGTTTACATCATTGCTACATCTATCTAACACCTTGTTTACATCATTGCTACATCTATCTAACACCTTGTTTACATCATTGCTACATCTATCTAACACCTTGTTTACATCATTGCTACATCTATCTAACACCTTGTTTACATGATTCCACCTTGTTTACATCATTGCTCCTTCTATCTAACACCTTGATTACATCATTCCACCTTGTTTACATCATTCCACCTTGTTTACATCATTGCTACATCTATCTAACACCTTGTTTACATCATTCCACCTTGTTTACATCATTGCTCCATCTATCTAACACCTTGTTTACATCATTGCTCCATCTATCTAACACCTTGTTTACATCATTGCTACATCTATCTAACACCTTGTTTACATCATTGCTACATCTATCTAACACCTTGTGTACAACATTGCCCCTTCTATCTAACACCTTGTTTACATCATTGCTACATCTATCTAACACTTTGTTTACATCATTGGTCCTTCTATCTTACACCGTATTTACAAACAAGACACAGTGGTAAATATATCCAATTTTCATATTTTATAAAACCACACATTCTCAGTGGCTGTAGACAGAATAACAAGTTTTTATTCCAAAATTACCATCAAGTTTACAGAGAGTAAATTGTACTACAAGAAAGCAGGTCTCACAACAAGGCACTATTCTTTAACAATTAGCAATTGTAAATGAGGCCGTTGACTTTACTAATAGGACAATATAACCTAGCACAGAATTTTCGGACAGCCTGAACAAAAAGTCAGTGTCCCAAACCCTTGACAAATTTGTGAATAATGAACTGTTTACTTTAAGCTCCCAGTGGTAGAATTTCCAGCCTGGAGAGTAATTATCACGCAGATCACACTTGGTCCTGATGCCAGCAGCTGTGAGTGATTTCTGTAGGTCCTTACACTTCTCATACACACTTTCCCCTTCTGCGTCTGATAAGTTAGCTGTGATACCACAGGGAACAATTATCACCTGTGTAAATAAACATTTAGGTAAGTAAAACCTGATAAAATTATGTTACAATAACATTAAGCAGTGGTCAAACTTGTACTTTGAAACTGGCAGTACAGTGTACATCAATGACAACTTCAAGAATTTCAAATTTATTTTGATAAATAACCTTTTTGGAAATGTAATTGTGGAAAATGAGATACAGTGGGATCATACACATGACGAGAGTCCCAATAAACAGCCAAGTGGAGAATCAATATCAGATGACAAATTGTCATTGTGTTGAATCAAACAACCTACCTGTACACCAGCCACTCTAGGTGGAAGTACAAGCCCATTGTTGTCGCCATGGATCATACACAGCACACCTATTGTCCTAGTGGTGATACCCCATGAGTTTTGATAGACAAACTGCTTCTCCCGTGTCTCTGGGTCCTCAATCACTATCTCAAACATCTTTGAGAAGTTCTGACCAAGATGGTGAGATGTGGCTCCCTACAATTTTAAGAAGAAAAGATCTTGACCATCACAAAAGCCAGTTACATGTAAGACAGAACTGACAAATCATTGCACAGAAATACAGGCCCCTTTTTTTTGGGGTGATGTTTCACAGAACATTTCAGCACATACAGTGATACAACAAACTTCTTGTTAATCATTGAAACTTCTAATTATCAATGAATGGTGCTGATCGTTCCAACTGTAATGGATAGAAACTCACCTGAATGGCACGCCCACTAGCACTGATATAGGCCTCGACTGTAGTTGTAAAATCTCCTCCAGCGAATTTTTCCTTCTCTGTTTTCCTTCCTCGCACCACTGGGATGGCCAGGAGTTCCTCATACACTCGGGCATACAGCTCCAGTATTGTGTATACCTGAAAGTCCAACAGGTATCAGACACTTTAACTAAAGGATCATCACTTACAACTTGTGGTGACTTTCATTTGAAGGCACAAATCCTTATATAAAGAAGGAAAGAAAGAAAGAAAGGCTTTTAATTGTTCAATTATTTGCAGTTTTTTTTTTAAAAATCTTAATCAAAAAGACTTTCTTTCAAAATTTTCATTTCATCCTATAACAGCAAAATTAGCACTCCTTAAATTAATCAATACTGTGGCAGTTAAAATGAAATCCCTGTGAAGTGTAATAATTATGTCAAGGCTCATCACCTTATCATTCAACTACAAACCTCCTCTTGTGCATCCTTAGCATTACTGTATGCTGTGTGGCCTTCCTGCCATAAGAATTCTCTTGTTCTCAGAAATGGTTGTGGATGTTTGAACTCCCATCTCTGTAAAACAATAACCATTGGTATCTCTTTATGTCTGCATTTTATTTTCCATTTAATCTGAATTTAGAATCTGCCACGACTAGATGCTCTAGATTTCTGGTTCTTCTAAATTTAATAGAAATGTTTCTAGTATCACTTGAGTTAAAACTTCCAATACAATATTGTATATGTTTTGAAAATTTTAATCAGTAATTACACTGTACATCAAAATGTGCTAACTTATATCAGAACTCATTGCATGAAGGCTTAATATACAATATATACACATTTTCAACTCTTCCAATGGTCAAATGATAACTTAGGCCTAACTTGACAATCGCTTTAGACCTAACTTGACAATCACTTTAGGCCTAACTTGACTATCACTTTAGGCCTAGCTTGACAATCACTTTAGGCCTACCTTGACGATCACTTTAGGCCTAACTTGACAATCACTTTAGACCTAACTTGACTATCAATTTAGGCCTAACTTGACTATCACTTTAGGCCTAACTTGACAATCACTTTAACCTAACTTGACGATCACTTTAACCTAACTTGACAATCACTTTAGGCCTAACTTGACAATCACTTTAGACCTAACTTGACAATCACTTTAGGCCTCACTTGACTATCACTTTAGACCTAACTTGACAATCACTTTAACCTAACTTGACAATCACTTTAGACCTAACTTGACAATCACTTTAGGCCTAACTTGACTATCACTTTAGGCCTAACTTAACAATCACTTTAGGCCTAACTTGACAATCACTTTAGACCTAACTTGACAATCACTTTAGACCTAACTTAACAATCACTTTAGACCTAACTTGACAATCACTTTAGACCTAACTTGACTATCAATTTAGGCCTAACTTGACAATCACTTTAGGCCTCACTTGACAATCACTTTAACCTAACTTGACAATCACTTTAGACCTAACTTGACAATCACTTTAGGCTTAACTTGACAATCACTTTAGGCCTCACTTGACAATCACTTTAACCTAACTTGACAATCACTTTAGACCTAACTTGACTATCACTTTAGGCCTAACTTGACAATCACTTTAGGCTTAACTTGACTATCACTTTAGACCTAACTTGACGATCACTTTAGACCTAACTTGACAATCACTTTAGGCCTAACTTGACAATCACTTTAACCTAACTTGACAATCACTTTAAGCCTAACTTGACAATCACTTTAACCTAACTTGACAATCACTTTAGGCTTAACTTGACTATCACTTTAGACCTAACTTGACTATCACTTTAGGCCTAACTTGACAATCACTTTAGGCTTAACTTGACTATCACTTTAGACTTAACTTGACAATCACATTAGACCTAACTTGACAATCACTTTAGACCTAACTCGACAATCACTTTAGGCTTAACTTGACTATCACTTATTTCAACCATGAGTAGAACTTGACGCTAGTAAATTACTCTAAGGTAAATAAAAAACATTTGGTGTAGTATGTGGATTATCTTGGGCACAAGCTTTTGATGATGAAAACATCAAATATACTTAGCCATCTATATGAGAGGAATACTGGAAATCAAGTGAGTGTTTCTATTTTCATATCCTTTTCAAAAATAGCAAAAAATTTTCATGAAATTCAAATTACCACTGTAGATAGAAAGTTATACTTCTCAGTCACAACTAAGAATAGAATTCATTGTAGAGGAATTTCTTGACACTGTGACTGTGTAAAATAGCCTAAATGTATAAAATATGCTTTCCAGATTACCCCAGGAATACAAGCTTTGTATTGTACATACCACAACATTGCACCACTGATTAAGTTTAAGTGGCAGGTCTCGATGTGACTGAATCCACTTGGCATACGACGGGTACATTACAGTCTCGCTGGTTGGTCTAATGGCTATAGGTTCAGCTAGATCTGACTTCCCAGATTTGGTTACCCAGGCAACCTATAGTTAAACATATGTTGAATAAGAATACTGACTGGTCTGCAAGAATTCTGGAGGGTGAGTAATAGTTGGATAGCAGAAGCGTCAAAATGGTCAGCGAAAAATGGGACAAAAAAAGCCAAAATAGTACTTATTTATAATAGGCCTAGGGAACTAGCTCATAACTGCTGGCTTTATTCAAGGGATGGGCTTAAAAAGTACACTGGTATAGCACATAACTTCTGGCTTTAAGGGGTGGGCTTATTATATAACAATGGTATAGTACATAACTTCTGGTTTAAGAGGTGGGCTTATTAAAGTGCACTGGAATAGCACATAACTCCAGGTTTTAAGGGGTGGGCTTATTAAATAGCAATGGTAAAGCATTTCTAAGAAACTGTGATTGATTAGCATGGGCTTATTACCAGACATGGGATGAATGCTGAAGATCATAATAAATCTCACCTCTGGAGCAAAATCCTCTATGTGGGTTTTCTCCCTTTCCAGTGCCTGATTAGAGACAAACATGGGGAAGTAAGTGTTCTCTACGCCAAGTTTCTTGATCTCTCTATCAAAGAATTCCTTAATGAATTCCCAGATGGAGTAGGACCATGGGCGCAAGATGTAGCAGCCACTCACATCATAATACTCAATCATCTCCGACTTCGTGATGACCTGGAAAATACATATGTTACATGTCGTAAATCATACCTAAGTGACTTCAAAAGTCAGAATAACATTCTTACCTGTTCAGACTCAACACCTTATTCTGTTTTAATGTGCTTTTTCAGCATTTTGAAAATTAAGATACCGACCAGCTAATGAAATATTAACCAATCAATTTATTGCTTTATATATTTCATTGTTTATTTTTGGGTTTTTTTTTTTGTAAGTTTTCTGGACTTATGATTTTGTTGATAAATATAGCTCAATAAGTCTGCTTTTATTTATTTCAAAAGTTTGTAGTCATGTAAATTCATGGACTATGAGTGCCCACAAAATCAATGAAAATAGAACCCGTATAGGAATGATTTAACAGTAAATCAATTTGTAACTTTAGATCTACCATCTTCATGTGTAGAGAGTATACAGGGTTCAGTTCAGTTGGTCATGCCCACATACCTGTTGATACCAGTCCGATAAATTTTCTTCTTTCTTTGCCTCTAGACAGAGTCTACAATGGAGAGAAAGTACAAAATACTGCTCCTCCCAAATATAATCACTCAGGCTATACTAAAGACTACACCACTTTTCAGTGTTTAACACTCATACCATAAACTTATATAATTCTGTCCTAATTTTACTTACTAAGAGGTGAAGCTAGAAATGGAATACCAACTCAGTGATGAAGTCAGAGAAACTTTCCAGTCATCATATGGAGCAGAACCATTATCCTGTCTATATCTTTTGTGTTAAATCATTTTTCTAATAAAACCAGCCAGAAGTTACATTTGACCCAACACACAATTTTATCACCTGGAAATATATTTTGTGAAGTAAATGTGTGTTTATCAGACCCTGGCAAATTTTAAACATATTCTACATCCTCTAGTGAAATCTAAATGTGTCTGGACGCACCTTGTGACTTTCTTCATGTCCTTGTTTTCCAAGTCATCCTTGCTCGCCGAGTCGTCCTTGACCGGTGTTTTTTCCTGTTTCTTTGGTGGTTTGTTTTCTTTGGCCTTTTTATCTTTCTTGTTTTGCCGTCCTCCTCCTCCCAATTCCTCCCCTGTCAGGTCCTTGTATTTACCTTTTAAGGCCAGCAGTGTCTGTACCTCTTTATCAACATCACCCTGTAAAGGTCAAAAGGTCATACCTCATTTTCCCTTTCACAATGGTAAAATTTTCATCTACAAAAACCTAATAACTAACACAACACTTAGATAACTTAAGTCACAATCAGATATGTATATACCTTTGCTGCCCCAGAAGATTTGAGTGACCGGACTTTCTCACCCTGGGCATCAATCTGTGCCTTCAGATCTTTTGCTTCTGCAGATTCAGCCATGTTGGAGCTGGATGACTCGGTGGACTTTGGGGTGACCTCAACTGGCTGGGGCTTCCAGTCCTTGCCAGTAGCAGTCTTATACTCTGCCTTAAGGGCCAGTAATTTTTTCACTTCAGGGTCAAGCTTGTCCTGTAATGAAGACAAACAAAACACTAGGTATTAACATTATGACTATAGATTTAATGCAGAAAGTATGTTGAACTGATTGAAACAGAGTTATCAGAGGATGAATAAAAACATATTTGTATGTAAAATTCCAGATAAACAAGCTAAGTTCTACAAAATCGTTTACATACTTGCAAGAAGGCAAAGGGGACAACATATAACCTTTAACACAACCTCTAACCCAAAGTCTGGGGATGGAGGCAGCACATAACCTCCAACACACAGTCATGTCGGCAGAACAGTGATTTTTGTTGGTGGGATGATACCCAGCAACAGGAGGAGTTATGGAGATGGAAAACCTGTAACCAACTGGGCTTATTACAGAGTAATGTAATAGATTTGTTGGTAATTCTACTGAACAGAAATACATACGGGTGGACTTATTACCAGACATAGGCTCACTGTGGAGAAATGGTGTACTTGCTTTTATTTTAAAACCTGTGTACATATTTTATAGAGATAGAACTTCTTTTTTATTGCATAACATTTTAAATACATTCTAATGGTCTTATCATAATTGGAGTAAAACAAATATAATGAGTTAGAGGCTATGGGGAAGGGGGAATTCAACCTTTATACGGGATTCATGTTTCTTAGGAAATTATTGTAAGGAATCATGTGCAATGTTACCATGTAAAAATCTTGGATCATCTTTATGACATGATGTCAATAAAGGCTAATGAAATACTTGAATGACTTTAAGTGATTATGGAACTCATCAACTGCCATTGTATTTCTGTTTCACATGAATTTTTCATACACTGCTGTGATATATCACCGAGCACCTTGTTATAAGATTTATTTATTACTTACTGAAATACCTATAATGTATAAAAGCTACAAATGTTATAACAACTTTATAATATTTCAGTGACAGCCATGTCAGATTCGTTACAACTCATAATCAAGCATTTGCACTCACTGTGTGCATCAAAGAAAACAAGTTTTTTGAAAGAACTGCTTGAGAAACACATTTTTAATTGCTGCTGTTGTTTAAGATAAACGAATTAATTTTTTATCAATTATAATACAGGAATAATGACTGCAATGCTGTCAGTCAATGCGACAGATCATACATATATCCAAGTATGTACAGGAATGTCATAAAGATGATCCAAGATCAAGTAGTCATATATAGGTATTTTAATTTTAAAATAATGATGATGTATTGAAGAATTCATTAGAAAAGTGCAATGCTGTGAATATTGTAAAAATTAGTGTGTGTGTTGTGATGTTTTCTACAAAAATGACAAGCCATCATCATATTCAAATGATTATATGTCATGCACTGGAATATGTAAAAAAAAAAATGTGAATTTTATTATTTTTTTTCCTAACTGCTTTAGAAAATTTAAACACTGACTGACATTTGAAAATTGTAATTGTTGTCAATTTGTTCTCTATTAACTTAGGTATCAATATGCTATTAAATTCTGTGAATTTTGAGAGTCAGCAACCAGGAATTTGATTTACCACGCCATTAAGGATATGCTATAACACACTAACAAACCGTAGTAGAAACATATACAGATTGCATCATACATCTTAAGTCAAGAGAGTTTTTGTTTCCAATATCTCAAAACAGAAGTCAAAGGTTCACTAAAGTACACCACCATCAAATTTTTGTCGGTAAGAATCCCCCAACCTATAGTCAACACATATACATGTGCCACCACCTGTTTCCATTGTATCCTTGTATATCACACATATGGGCATGAGCAGGCAATATTTATATCACAACAAATGACCCTATATACCTAACAATGAAACAGGCATTAATATTTGAAATTAACATTTTATACAAACATATACTGGTACATGTGCTAAGCTGTAGGATACTGTTTACATCGGTTTTGCCATTATAAATAATAAACAACATCTGTCAAAACAGGAATCAAGAAAATATTTCTCCTATGACTCCAATACAGTCCTTCAAAGCAATTCTCTGATATAAAACTCACAGATAAAGGCTGTTTCACATTCTGTTACCGATACAGCTGAGAACCATCCACGTGGCTAATTCTTCAAGTCAACATGTACACACAAACACTTGCTCACTATTGCCTGACCTAAATTTAAGGGAGTGTTGAAGATAACACATATGTTGTTATAAATCCTTTAGCCCTTATTGCCCAGAGGTGCATCAGAGCATATGTGTCTGTGTGTGATACTAGCCAATGTTATATAGCCCTGGGCCCCTTGAATATAAAACAGTCAAAAACTGCTCTAAGTAGCTAGCCCCAGGATAAAAAAATATTGATCTGACATTCATCTGGTTCTATATTTATTTTTCCTTTCGGTTTTGAAAGACATACACAGATAGATCATACTGAGAGAATTCTTAAAAAGAAATAATGATTTCCTTGGCCCCTTCCTTCCCCTTCCTCTTCCCTTGGGCTTGCAAGTCAGCAATTTTCAGAGAATTCTTATCCCCCACCTCTCTGGGATCGCATCTACCATATCGGATTAAAATAGTGGTCTGCTAAATAAAGCTGATTTACGTGACCCCATGTGATGATCCTGCCCTCAAGTCTGTCACGTAGTAATAGTAATCATTGTTAAGTTACTTGAAGGTTGGTATATTGAAGTGTTCATATCAAAGACCAGTAATTAGGAATTATTTTATCGAAAAACACACAACACCAATTAAAAAAAAAACAAAAAATATCTGACATCCCCCCCACCCCCCATCCATCCCCCTATACTTCTTTTTCTTTTATACCATTTATTGATCCCAAGAGCCAAAATATAATCCAATGTATTGAATACTTGCCACAATAAGACTTGTTCACTAATTGTTTGTAGAATTAATTGCCTTTGAGAGAATTCAGGAAAATATTTCATAATAGTTACCAACAATCTTAAAAACCCTGACATATAAAAATTGGAATATACCTCAATAATGTTGTAATCAAAATTTTACAAACCAAAGATAATAAGCAAAAGCCTCAATATCTAAATGATTTAAAACCTATAATTCTGTCGGACTTTCTACACCTTGTCCCCATCATCTAATCATGATATCAGAAGGACTACAAAAGAGTCAGCTGTAGTTGTGTTTATCATTTTACAAATAATCTTTTGGTTACTGGATTCATATACAAAAGTGCTATTCATTTAAGTGCCTTTTTGCAAAATCTTTCTCAAACATGTATGATGATGAAAAGTCTTGATCTTGGATTTTAGTTCATGTATAAAACAGGATCTCAACAATTTACCCCTAGATATGTTAAGGTAGGACTAAGTGATAAGGTTAGGACTCGGGCACTGTAGATCTATTCTGTAGAATGAGTGTGTTTTTTTCTCTACATGCCAATAAATTTATAAATTATTGTTGAAAGTTTGAATAGATCCATGTGACAGAACAGATCCTAGACAAGACCTGTTACAGATTTTATAAAAGGCACACAAGTGAAAAGCATTTACAAGGTAATACAAATTTAGATAAGAAACAGCAGAGCTACACAGTAAAGTAAACTGAAGCATAGCTGTTTTGTCAAGAAAGTAATATCACACCCACTCTCAATTTTTTATATTTAAAGCCTCTTCTGCTTAATGCTGTCTGACTTGAAAATAAATATTATCGGCCAATCAAACCTTAGAAATGTATTTTTTTTCCTTACAAAAATAATTTAGAATTTGGCTCAAATTTCTAGATGGCACCGTTTCCTGATTGTTTCCCTTATTGTTGATGTTTGCAATACATTACATACCCTATGCCTCTCTCTCTTTCTCTCTCTCCTACCATCTCTCTCTTTCTCTCTCTCCTACCATCTCTCTCTCTCTCTCTCTCTCTCCTACCATCTCTCTCTCTCTCTCTCTCTCCTACCATCTCTCTCTCCTACCATCTCTCTCTCTCTTCTCTCTCTCTCTCTCTCTCTCTCTCTCTCTCTCTCTCTCTCTCTCTCTCTCTTCCTCTCTCTCTCTCTCTCTCTCTCTCTCTCCTACCATCTCTCTCTCTCTCTCTCTCTCCCTCTCTCTCTCTCTCTCTCTCTCTCTCTCTCTCTCTCTCTCTCTCTCTCTCTCTCTCTCTCTTTCTCCTACCATCTCTCTCTCTTTCTCTCTCTCCTACCATCTCTCTCTCTCTCCTACCATCTCTCTCTCTCTCTCTTTCTCCTACCATCTCTCTCTCTCTTTCTCTCCTACCATCTCTCTCTCTCTTTCTCTCTCTCCTACCATCTCTCTCTCTCCCATCATTAACCTCTTTCTAACTGGCAAATGACAACGTTGAAAAAGTTCAAAACAAGTAAGATTTTTATTTGATATATAAATGTATATGAAATACTGAACAATTCTATAATGCATACACAGTTGTTGTGATGTCACAAGAACAACATTTATGGAGTTAGAGAAGAACATTTTATCGTAAAAAGAACACCCATATAGTTTATCTTATTGGCAAAATGATGGTTTTAATATTCCCGAAGAAGAGACAAGATTTACTTAATTCTGAATACAGGGCTGGTATTGTTTGATAAAGAGAGTTTTAGATTTGACCAATCAGGATACTAATGAATGTTAACCACATTCAAAGCCTGGTAATTATAAATGACAATAGAATACTTATATAAACAAAGAGTGTTCATGCTGTACTTTACAATTTATACAGATATAGCCCTGGTAAATACTAGCCACAATATACCAATCAGCTAGAATGATCTCATTCTGCTCTAGCATCACACTAATAAGCCAGAGGTCCCTGTTTCGATTCCTAATGGAGACATTGAAATAAAAATGGCCTCTGTTTCATTAGAGTTCATTCCTGGAGAAGTACGTAACACTCGCAACTACTAGTGGCAATATACCTCAGTTAGAGAGAATTTCTCTTTAGCTTGATTGTTTGAATATCAGACCAGTAAACCAGAATCCTAGCAGAGGCATTGAAATAGAAACAATGTAAAAATGATAATGCACTTTTAGGCAAATCTATCAGATAATTCAAGACAGCAAGTGGTCCATTCAAAATGTGTACACTCTTGCCAAGTAGATATTCTATTTAAATGGCAGCACACCTCAGTTTTTTTTAATTTATGATCCAGAATTATTAAAAATATCAGTATTCTGCATAGCAATGATAAGAAGCAGCAAATCACATATCCTACATATGTCATAAAGGTTGAAACAATTGTCAGTTCCAAAATTATGTTTAAACTGTATGGAAAATCACTTCCAATTCATGTAAATAATCACTCAGTGTTATATTAGTTCTTTAATTATAGTTACTTAACATGCCAGGTTGTGAAAAAATATCCATTGTCACAATGCAGTACACTGCAAATTTCTTTGTGTATAGAGAGTGCAACTTCTCCACATTGATCCTTCTGAAAACCAATTACTTTTTGAAACCAAACAAAACAGTGATGTATGGAATAATGCTATTATAGTTATCAAGATATTATTTTCTACTAAAAGTCTTTGATGTGTCCGGGTGTAGGATAGAGATATTCCACGCGAGGGGTCACAAAATATCGCACAGCCTGAGGCTCTGAAAAGGATTTCACCTCATTTTGTGAACTCGAGAGTGAAATGTCTCGCCTTTCACCTCAAGAAATAAAGGAGTACTTTTCTTTCATTTTTCATCCTGAAATATTGAGTAAAAATAACTTCAGATGTCAACAATGTACTTCTAGTACAAAGGACACCATATTACACAACAAGAGATCCCAGAGGGATCTTGGCGCCCACCATTTAAGGATCTATTTTCAGTTCTTGAAGATTTGTTTATTTTTTTTGTTTGTTACAGGTGTAGTAAATGTTCATGAACTGGTCTTTATTGAATGTACTCAATGATGGCACAAGATATTTTTATCAAGCACTTATTAGCAAATATCATTTGAAAAAGATCCCAAAGTATTATTAGATAGCAGTCAGTTACAGGTGGATAATGGACAATATGCTTGTGCTGTATTACTATCGACATCCAAGATGCCTGCCTGTGGGCCACCTTGATTTCAAATCAGTCCAAAAAAGGTACAATGCACAACTAGGGACCAAGGGAAACCAATATCTATGAAATATCAGAAGGATCCATCCAGTACTTCCTCAGATATAGCAGTAACAAGATTTTACTCTCAAAATCCAAGATGGCCACCTGTCAGCCATCTTGATTTCGGATCAGTCCAAAAAGGTATAATGCACAACTTGGAACCAAAGGGAACCTGCATATGAAATTTGAGAAAGATCCATCCAGTACTTTCCAAGAAATAGCAGTAACAAACTTTTACATTCAAAATCCAAGATGGCCACCTGTCTGCCATCTTGAATTCGAATCAGTCCAAAAAAAGGTACAATGCACAACTACGGACCAAGGAGAACCTGCATAGGAAATTTGAGAAAGATCCATCCAGTACTTTCCAAGAAATAGCAGTAACAAACTTTTACATTCAAAATCCAAGATGGCCACCTGTCTGCCATCTTGAATTCGAATCAGTCCAAAAAAGGTACAATGCACAACTAGGGACCAAGGGGAACCTGCATATGAAATTTGAGAAAGATCCATTCAGTACTTTCCAAGAAATAGCGGTAACAAACTTTTACATCCAAAATCCAAGATGGCCACCTGTCGGCCATCTTGAATTCGAATCAGTCCAAAAAAGGTACAATGCACAACTAGGGACCAAGGGGAAACTGCATATGGAATTTGAGAAAGATCATCCAGTGGACTAAGGGGAAACTGCATATGAAATTTGAAAAAGATCCTTTCAGTACTTTCCAAGAAATAGCGGTAAAAAACTTTTACTTCCAAAATCCAAGATGGCTGCCTGTCGGCCATCTTGAATTCGAATCAGTCCAAAAAAGGTACAATGCACAACTAGGGACCAAGGGGAAACTGCATATGAAATTTGAGAAAGATCCATCCAGTACTTTCCAAGAAATAGCAGTAAAAAACTTTTACTTCCAAAATCCAAGATGGCTGCCTGTCGGCCATCTTGAATTCGAATCAGTCCAAAAAAGGTACAATGCACAACTAGGGACTAAGGGGAAACTGCATATGAAATTTGAGAAAGATCCATCCAGTACTTTCCAAGAAATAGCAGTAAAAAACTTTTACTTCCAAAATCCAAGATGGCTGCCTGTCGGCCATCTTGAATTCGAATCAGTCCAAAAAAGGTACAATGCACAACTAGGGACTAAGGGGAAACTGCATATGAAATTTTAGGAAGATCCATCCAGTACTTTCTCAGAAATAGCGGTAACAAATTTTAACTTCCAAAATCCAAGATGGCCACCTGTCGGCCATCTTGAATTCGAATCAGTCCAAAAAAGGTACAATGCACAACTAGGGACCAAGGGGAACCTGCATATGAAATTTGAGAAAGATCCATTCAGTACTTTCCAAGAAATAGCAGCAAAAAACTTTTACATCCAAAATCCAAGATGGCCACCTGTCGGCCATCTTGAATTCGAATCAGTCCAAAAAAGGTACAATGCACAACTAGGGACCAAGGGGAAACTGCATATGGAATTTGAGAAAGATCCATCCAGTGGACTAAGGGGAAACTGCATATGAAATTTGAAAAAGATCCTTTCAGTACTTTCCAAGAAATAGCGGTAAAAAACTTTTACTTCCAAAATCCAAGATGGCTGCCTGTCGGCCATCTTGAATTCGAATCAGTCCAAAAAAGGTACAATGCACAACTAGGGACCAAGGGGAAACTGCATATGAAATTTGAGAAAGATCCATCCAGTACTTTCCAAGAAATAGCAGTAAAAAACTTTTACTTCCAAAATCCAAGATGGCTGCCTGTCGGCCATCTTGAATTCGAATCAGTCCAAAAAAGGTACAATGCACAACTAGGGACTAAGGGGAAACTGCATATGAAATTTGAGAAAGATCCATCCAGTACTTTCCAAGAAATAGCAGTAAAAAACTTTTACTTCCAAAATCCAAGATGGCTGCCTGTCGGCCATCTTGAATTCGAATCAGTCCAAAAAAGGTACAATGCACAACTAGGGACTAAGGGGAAACTGCATATGAAATTTTAGGAAGATCCATCCAGTACTTTCTCAGAAATAGCGGTAACAAATTTTAACTTCCAAAATCCAAGATGGCCACCTGTCGGCCATCTTGAATTCGAATCAGTCCAAAAAAGGTACAGTGCACAACTAGGGACCAAGGGGAAACTGCATATGAAATTTGAGAAAGATCCATCCAGTACTTTTCCAGAAATAGCGGTAACAAGCTTTTACTTCCAAAATCCAAGGGGCCACCTGTCGGCCATCTTGAATGCGAATCAGTTCAAAAAAGGTACAATGCACAACTAGGGACCAAGGGGAACCTGCATATGAATTTTGAGAAAGATCCATCCAGTACTTTTCCAGAAATAGCGGTAACAAGAATTGTTTAGAGACGGACGGACGGACGGACGGCAGGACGCCTAGACGGACGGACCACGGACGCAGGGCGGTTTGAATAACCCACCATCTATTAGATGGTGGGCTAAAAAGTCCAGAAAACAATATTCCCTGAGAATTTTCTAAGTTCAAAGGGGCATAATTCTGCCAAGAAGGGTCACAGACAGCCGGAAATCAAACTTACTCTGTACGCTTCCAACAAGAAGCCATATACTAAATTTCATTTTGATAACTCAAAGCATAAGCGAAAAAAGTCCAGAAAACTGTCGTATGGACGCTGCCGACGTTGACGTGTGATGACGGACAAAGTGATCCCTAAGTGTCCGCAAGCTCTGCAGGCGACACAAAAACTACCCTCGTTTGACGAATTTGCTGAGTTGTCCAATTCGACCTTTGACCCTTTACCCTTGACCATTGTCCACTTTCATGTAATAAGGTGTAGAAATTTATCTTGCTATACAACAGGGCAATTACGAACCAAAACCTGTTGAAAGGTTCTCAAGATGTGATATTATTTGAAACAGGATGTAACTTGACATGTCCGAATTGATGGTCATGGAAAACAATATATGCCCCCCCTCCCCTACCTCCAACATCTAAAACATTGTGGGGGCATAAAAACAATACAGAACAACAGTTAATTGATTGCAGTGCTCACCATCATGTTAATATTTTTATGTGATGTAAAACATAAAGTGAATTTGACAAATTTACCTTTGAAACTTTCTTGGCCTTTAGGTCTCTGATAAGATTTCCCTGAGTGACAATTTTATCATTAAGTTCCTTGTCTCCAGTTGTTGCTGATCCAGTAGTGGCAGTAGTGGCAGGAGCCGGTTTAGCATCTGGTTTCCAATCCTTACCGGTGGCAGACTTGTACTCGGCCTTCAGTGCTAAAAGTACCTTCACCTCAGCATCTATCACTTCCTACAACACATTATAAGTATAGTAAGTATGGTATACATACAGCCACGCACAAAGATAAAAAGATTTAAATTCTTGGGCTAAGGTTGTAATGTTGCTGTGTTTATCCTGTAATTAATCCAGGGAGTCTAAACATTCCTCACAACTTAACGTTAGGAGGTGGGTTTATTACAGTTCCATGCAGAGCATTTGTTCACATTTCTAATGAAATCCTTTATTTTGGGTTTATTAACAGGCATGAGCTTATTGTCTGATAAACATGGTAAAAAATTCAATCACAATCTTATTTGTTCAAAAATATATATTTGTTCAGAGAGAGAAGCATAAATAAATATGTATTAGACTTTTGTCAAATGTCTGGTATTTACAGGTTTACGACTGTTTAAATAGACAGTATATTGTAAACAAACATATTGCAGTGATAATCTTATATCAGCACTTTTCACATAGCTTGCCAGTTTTCTCAATAAATACTTACTTTCTTTGCTTTCTGTGACTTCAGGTCTCTGACCTTGTTTCCCTGGGCTGCGACCTTGTCATAGAGGTCAGCATCTCCCGTAGTTGCAGGAGTGACTGCAGCAGCTGGAGCTGGTTTAGCATCTGGTTTCCAATCCTTACCAGTGGCAGATTTGTACTCGGCCTTCAGTGCTAACAGGATTTTCACCTCGGCATCTATCTGGTCCTGTAACACATCATCATTACATTACACACAGTCTTCTGACGCTCATTCACATCTATCAATCTTTAGACGTTTTTAAATTCAAGTACAAACACTACAATCCACAGGCTTGCTAATGGTCAAATACAGATCTCTATATTATATAAATCTATTAAGACAAGTCTTTTTTCATAATAGATTTTACATGTTGAATAACATGCATACATATTATAAGGGGTCCAATTTAGCCAGATTGCATAGTATTTTTTCCAGCTTTGAGAGTAATCACATCCAAGTTTCAGTTGAAAGTTTGCCATGTTTTAGAATATGAAATAGTTATCAAATTACTCACTTTCTTTGCTTTCTGTGACTTCAGGTCTCTGACCTTGTTTCCCTGGGCTGCGACCTTGTCATAGAGGTCAGCATCTCCCGTAGTTGCAGGAGTGACTGCAGCAGCTGGGGCTGGTTTAGCATCTGGTTTCCAATCCTTACCAGTGGCAGTTTTGTACTCTGCCTTCAGTGCTAACAGGGTCTTCACCTCAGCATCTATCTGGTCCTGTAACACACCACCAGCATTGTACACCCACTCGAGACATTTATTTGAAAGTCAAGTACAAGAATGACTGAACAGTATTAGGTTCAGAAGATACCATTCTCTGGATTAAGAGGAATTTGTTTATACAGAGATCATTGTCATCAAAATACAAGATGCCCAAAAGGACCCTGAGTGAAATGGGAGACCCCAGGGTCACAAAAAACCAAAACTTTATGGTGAAGCACGTTTTAATAAGACTCTTACAACCATAAAGAGTATTTCCTTCTACCATTTTTGGGTCCAAAGAAGAAAACTTTTGGAATTTGCCAATTAAATACTTTTCGCCCAATCCCTCGGACCTTTGAACATGGAGAACATATTTCTGTAATTCCATTTCCGACAATCTATCCTGAGTGCGTATCGGTAAGATAAACTGCATTTCCTATTCGGGAAATCAAGACATTTTTGACTTATTGTTTCTGTTCTAATGTCTAAAATAGAATATAAATAAAGGATTAACAGTAAATGAACTATTAATGTTTCTTTGTCTTTTCCATTCTTAACATGAAATTTTATCTACTTTTTTATTTGTATGAGTGTCTAGAATGATTGTCTGAGCTCATGTCTCCTGCCTGAGCTGCCCCCCCCCACCCACATTCTTTTCCATTCAACAAAAAAGGAAAAAAAAAAAGTGACTTATTTCTATTGCTTTAGAGGTTATAAGGTTATAATGCAGTGGATTCTCTCCAGCTTAGAGTATATATTTTATCACACCGGATCATCACACTAAGTTTGTGTAAATAATACCATTTGTAAAGTTTCTGAATATTATATACTTACTTTCTTTGCTTTCTGTGACTTCAGGTCTCTGACCTTGTTTCCCTGGGCTGCGACCTTGTCATAGAGGTCAGCATCTCCCGTGGTTGCAGGAGTGACTGCAGCAGCTGGGGCTGGTTTAGCATCTGGTTTCCAATCCTTACCAGTGGCAGATTTGTACTTGGCCTTCATTGCTAACAGGATCTTCACCTCTGCCTCTATCTGGTCCTAAACCAGTCCAAGAATATTTGTGAATATGATTTTCTGTATTGAATATGTGTTCTCAACAGATTTGCATGCAAATTTCACAATGCTGTGTTTTTTAAAACAAATTAATACAGCTGACTATTCATAGTAACAAGAATTCTCACACACTTTGTGGAGAAAATTCAATTTTAGCAAGTAAGAAATGCATGAAGATTCCATATTCACTTCAACTTAGTCCTGATCTGAGGAAAACATTCCATAAAACTCCTGTAAACCTTCTGTAATTACCTTGGGTGCTTTATCACTCTTCAGCTTTCGTATCTGCTCGCCCTGGGCACGAACCCTATTGTCAAGATCAACTGCAGAGCTCCCTCCTGGAACTGCCGGAGCTTGTTCGTCCTGCGGCGACTTTTCAGCGGACTTTCCTTTCTTACTCTGTGCCTTCTGTAACCAGAGAAGAAAATAATAGAAGTTCTTACAACACAACCAGTACACAACTGGCTGTACTATAACTTTAATGTCTTTATTCTTACAGCAAGTGATTCAGCCTTCAAATTTCTGCTCAAGCAGTGAGAATGGAGTGTAAATGTGAAACAAAACACATGGTTCGCATTAAGTAAATAAAGTCATATCTATACATGTATTTCTATTAATACAGGAAGCAAGATCTAGCCATGCTAAGGCAGTAAATATAATCAATACAACATACATTGCATAATTCAGTATTGAAATGCATCATCATCCGACTGGGAAGAAGTGAAAAAGAGTACCCTGAGAACTTGTGTATACATATTTATTGGCAAATCAACCTGCTAACTTTTGAAGTGTTTTGACCATCACGGCACATTAAATGAAAATAATAGCAGCCTGGCTAGTATGTCTTTGGCCCATTGAAAAAAAAAATCCAAAATGTACATCAATGCCAAATATGTTTCAAGGAAATACTGATAACTAATTTAACATTATAAAGAAAAGAAAACTTAAAAAACGTAAAACTAATCAAACAAGATTTCCACATGAACAATGATTAAATCATAACTTTGATTGTTTTATTTCTAAATCATTCAAAGAATGTCATTAATTCAAAGAAATCCATACCTCCTTGGCACTGCTCTCCTGTTTGTGTTTTGAGCCAGCAGTTGGCATTTCTTTCTGATGGCCGTCTGGTATGTTAAGAAGTACACATGGACTACTCGTTCCAGTATAGGGGCTGTGAAGACCAGACCATTCAACATTTACAGGAGATGTGAAGTGGTGACAAGGTTTAATAATATACTTCAGAACATCAGGACAACCAGAACTCCAGTTATAAACACAAGTAGAAAGGTCTAAGCAAACTTTTCTCCTTGATTAATTTGTGTATAAGAACAGAAAAAATACACATTGAACTAGGAATCAAACCCAGGTCTGCCGTGTGATAAATGACAGGCTTAACACTATATACAAGCCAAACTAACCCACCAGCTGAGTGACAGAGATCGTATTTAACACTATATACAAGTCACACCAACCCGTCAGCTGAGTGACAGAGATCGTATTTAACACTATATACAAGTCACACCAACCCGTCAGCTGAGTGACAGAGACTGTATTTAACACTATATACAAATCACACCAACCCACCAGCTGAGTGACAGAGACCGTATTTAACACTATATACAAATCACACCAACCCACCAGCTGAGTGACAGAGATCGTATTTAACACTATATACAAGTCACACCAACCCGTCAGCTGAGTGACAGACACCATATTTAACACTATATACAAATCACACCAACCCACCAGCTGAGTGACAGAGATCGTATTTAACACTATATACAAGTCACACCAACCCGTCAGCTGAGTGACAGAGACTGTATTTAACACAATATACAAATCACACCAACCCACCAGCTGAGTGACAGAGATCGTATTTAACACTATATACAAGTCACACCAACCCGTCAGCTGAGTGACAGAGACTGTATTTAACACTATATACAAATCACACCAACCCACCAGCTGAGTGACAGAGACCGTATTTAACACTATATACAAATCACACCAACCCGTCAGCTGAGTGACAGAGACTGTATTTAACACAATATACAAATCACACCAACCCACCAGCTGAGTGACAGAGACCGTATTTAACACTATATACAAATCACACCAACCCGTCAGCTGAGTGACAGAGACTGTATTTAACACTATATACAAATCACACCAACCCACCAGCTGAGTGACAGAGACCGTATTTAACACTATATACAAGTCACACCAACCCGTCAGCTGAGTGACAGAGACTGTATTTAACACAATATACAAATCACACCAACCCACCAGCTGAGTGACAGAGACCTTATTTAACACTATATACAAGTCACACCGACCCGTCAGCTGAGTGACAGAGACTGTACACTATATACAGTCACATCGACCCGTCAACGGAGTGACAGAGACCATATTTAACACTATATACAAGCAACACCGACCCGTCAACTGAGTGACAGAGACTGTATTTAACACAATATACAAATCACACCAACCCACCAGCTGAGTGACAGAGACCGTATTTAACACTATATACAAATCACACCAACCCACCAGCTGAGTGACAGAGATCGTATTTAACACTATATACAAGTCACACCAACCCGTCAGCTGAGTGACAGAGACTGTATTTAACACAATATACAAATCACACCAACCCACCAGCTGAGTGACAGAGACCGTATTTAACACTATATACAAATCACACCAACCCACCAGCTGAGTGACAGAGACCGTATTTAACACAATATACAAATCACACCAACCCACCAGCTGAGTGACAGAGACCGTATTTAACACTATATACAAATCACACCAACCCACCAGCTGAGTGACAGAGACCGTATTTAACACTATATACAAATCACACCAACCCACCAGCTGAGTGACAGAGACCGTATTTAACACTATATACAAATCACACCAACCCATCAGTTGAGTGACAAGTACCGTATTTAACACTATATACAAGTCACACCGACCCGTCAGCTGAGTGACAGAGACTGTACACTATATACAGTCACATCGACCCGTCAACGGAGTGACAGAGATCGTATTTCACACTATGTTCAAGTCACATGAAACCCACTCAGAGTAATTTTTTGGTTAGAATTTATCAGATATAAATGACTGGTAGTAACACTAAATGTAAATAAGGTGACAAGAAGGCTGACCTGGTTGGCTGGTATGGCTGATCACAAATGTAGTAACCTCGTCTCTGTAGTTGGATAATATCTCCTTTCTTTAGACTGGCTAGACACGGGTCTCCATACATAACCTGCTCTTTCTGTAACAGGTCAAAGTCCAATTATCATACTTCAATTTCGTTAGATATTGTGAATCATTGAGATCTTTGAAAACATTTTTTCTATATTTTGTTTGTTTGTTTGTCTTTTCTTTCCACTAAATATTTTCTCTGAAAACTCTCTACTTCCAAAAGTCTCCTTTGGTGATTGACCTCTAACCCATACCTTAGAATCTCTGTTGGCATAGGCCTTGAAGTCTTCATCTTTGGCAAGAATAGGTTTTGAGATAATGTGATCATACTGGACACAGATGGCTGGAGTGAAGGGAGCCTCATCTGTACTGGCTAACCATGTTATCTTCTGGGTCTTTTTGTAATCCTATAAAGAGACAATTTCATCAAAGTCAGATTTTAAACAAATATCTTTTGGAACAGCATTTTTATGTTTTGAAGTTTTATTAAGATATAATTTGTAGCCATTATTTAAAATCTTAAGAAAAAAAACTGTTGAAATATCAATATCTTTAATACTGCAATTTAACTTAGAAATTCCTTGAAACACAAGATGGATGAGAGATTATCAAGGGGTTGCTGAAAATGTAAGACAGAAGTAAAGTGCTGCGAGATGCCTAGCAATACAAAGATGGGAGATTACCAAGAGGTTGCTGAAAATGTAAGACAGAAGTAAAGTGCTGCGAGATGCCTAGCAATACAAAGATGGGAGATTACCAAGAGATTGCTGAAAATGTAAGACAGAAGTAAAGTGCTGCGAGATGCCTAGCAATACAAAGATGGGAGATTACCAAGAGATTGCTGAAAATGTAAGACAGAAGTAAAGTGCTGCGAGATGCCTAGCAATACAAAGATGGGAGATTACCAAGAGATTGCTAAAAATGTAAGACAGAAGTAAAGTGCTGAGAGATGCCTAGCAATACAAAGATGGGAGATTACCAAGAGATTGCTGAAAATGTAAGACAGAAGTAAAGTGCTGAGAGATGCCTAGCAATACAAAGATGGGAGATTACCAAGAGATTGCTGAAAATGTAAGACAGAAGTAAAGTGCTGAGAGATGCCTAGCAATACAAAGATGGGAGATTACCAAGAGATTGCTGAAAATGTAAGACAGAAGTAAAGTGCTGAGAGATGCCTAGCAATACAAAGATGGGAGATTACCAAGAGATTGCTGAAAATGTAAGACAGAAGTAAAGTGCTGAGAGATGCCTAGCAATACATCATAAGAAAGAAACTGTATGCTGGAGAGAAAAGACAGGCAAAAACTAAAACTTACTGTATTCTCAAGGTCGAGGTTAGCATCAAGTGAAGTTACTTTTCCACTGGTACTGTAAACAAAACATATCAGTTCTATTTTAATCAGTAACACTGAAAACCTTCATTTATCCTAAATCTTAAATAGTTATATAATGAAATATATCTTTCAAACATATTCAACATAAAATTACTGGTTTAGAAATCAACCAAAGTTGATAAAAATTATTTCACTGAAGCTATGAATAGGACCCAATCAAATGAGAAATACTAATTTCAATGCTAATGAAAGAGTTACCGATTGACTTTGGCAATCCCAAGGTTTCCCCAATTAATGAAGGTCACCGTTTCTCCCTCTGACAACATCTCTGCATCAGCGCCATCTATATACAGCAAGGGAGAGTACCAGGTATCTTTGGTTCCAAGCTCAGAGTTCTGCATATAAATGAATCATTATTGAAAATTCAAGTGCTTTCATAACAAAGAAAGAAAACATTCCCCAGTCTTAAGATGATTAAAAAAACTATATAAATTATCACTAATACCATTCTCTTATGCCATAAGTTCACTGGTCCTTCAGACCAGGTAAGATAAAAATTCAATATATTTGGTGTAATAGTGTATGAAAGGAGATGCTGAAGATAAGACATTGTAGGAACACTACTAGCTTTTATTTTGACACAAAATCTCTATAAACAGTAAATGCTGGTACCTTTGGATGTACTGCCACTTTTTTACAGCCAACACCAGCTCCCTTCACATTGACAGGAACTACATCACTCTTCAGCAGGGCAGTGTATCGTGGTACCACCGGGTCTATTACCTACATGTCATGAAAAATCTGCTGATTTGCATTTCAACTTTATTTATTTTACAACAACTAAGAAACATGCTTTAATCTTATATTAATCACTCTTGTTGACCTGGATGGAAGCGCATGAGGAGTCTTATTGTGGGAGAAAACTGGAGTAACCGGGGAAAACCATTGTGGTGGAGTAGGTCACCCCTTACCTTTTCACGTCCATACTGGGAATTGAACCCAGGACACCTAGATGTACGGTGAAGGTGTTACCACTGTTCCACCAAATCACCAATTTTCTATCTCATGAAGACAAACTGAATGTGATTGATCTATCCATCAATTTCCCTTCATTATCTGGATCAGTTGCAACAAGTAGCCAAAAAGTATTCTACGTCAGTGGCTGAAACTGTCACTAAATTTTACCCAGTTTGTCCGTATTTCCTACACTACTATCTTTATGCTGAAGTTGTAAAGACTAATTTAAAGAGATTTCTGTACCTACCTTTTTGTTAACGGACCAGATCTTGTCCCATTCCATCATGACGATGGATCGTGATGATCCCTACAATGTTTAGAAATAAAATGATAGAGCATGTAAAATTCAACTTTACATCACAACAAGGAGTGATATAGATGCTTTTGTTCAATCTATTCTTTCATTTGAGAATGAAAAAGAAAGAAAGAAAAAAAAACTGAACATTCACCTGCGCAACGATGAATTGTTTGAGGCCCTCCACAGTCAAACCACGTCTCAGCACTCCTCTCACTGTTGGGAATCTTGGGTCATCCCTACAAATGATGAAAAACACATAAATTTTGGATCTACTCAAACAAGCCCATTAATTTTTATCAAAAAAGAAGTTTAACATATTCATACACCAAAACTAAATGTTTCAATGATAATTTGTAAATTGTAAACATACTTAATTTGATGCAATCAAACTTAAGCACATTACAAACTTTGAGCAAATTAATGCAATGATGAATTCAAGCATCCACAATATTTACTAATTGACGGACATATAGAAACTGCAATTAACACTAATATTTTAGCTCAAACTTTTAGCACTAAAAGAGCTTAAATGGATACAAGCTAAGAGACGTAGATTTACAGAAGCTAGCTATGTGTATCTTGTCGTCCATCACCATATTATCTTTAGTGGTTCTATGTAAGAGCAAAGAATGAAGTGAAACCAACTTGTAGTGTGTTCTCTGTATGAGATATGTGGTACAAGGAAAATTGATTTATGAAACTTGACAATGACCCATTAGTGATATTCTTACAAAAAGCCTTAATTGTCAGGCCAAATTTCAAAATAACAGACTGTCATCAATTTTTTCCCTAAATCATGTTTGAAATTTAACAGAGACAACTAAGGTGGGTTAAAAATACAGCAGTTAAGTAAACATCTTAATGAATTGGTTTTCATTTGATTTTCCAAAATTTAACGTACCATCCATCAACAATTCCCTGGTCTACAAACCAAGTGAGTCTTCTCTTGGACAGCACGGTATTCTGCAAGTTTAGTCGACTGTACTCGTATATATGTGGCTTACGTAGACCTAAAAAACCAGATCATACATATGTAGTGGATAACTTCAACATCAGAAAACTGACTCTGTCAGGTAAATGGTAAACTAGAGCAATGACAGGTCAGCAAGGGCCACGCTGTGTGGCTGTAAATCCACCCCCCTCCTCTCTCCCATCAGCAAGCACTTTCAGTATAGATGGAACAGCATTGCAAACGACTCACTCTCCAACTGTATATATCTATATCTTCATATTAGTAATATGAAATATTTTTGAAGGAAAGTCTGTGACTGATCCTTGAATTTTTTATAATATATAAAAGATATCATTCCAGCAGCTAAGCCTGAACCTTTATCTATCAAATGGCAGGTTCAATAGTGAGTAAATATTTCATGACTTCATCAATGCTTTTTTTGTACATACCCAAAACATCAATTATCCAGAAGTATTGACAGTCACGATCGTGGTACTCTGTTGTCCTCAGAGCATGTGTCACTCCCTCTACACTGTCGACGATTGGGCAGGCAAAGTCGTAGGTTGGGTACACCCTGTAACATGCAATCAGTACTTGTATAATAAGTATTATTTACTTTACTGATACATCTGTGGGAATATTCTCATCAATATTAGTTCACCGACATGTCCTGTACTGTAATGACCATGTGTTTGGCTATGGAGTCATTAAAACGTGAAATAAGTTTGTAGCTAAGATTTCCCCAAAGCTGTGTAGCTACATATATAGTGTGGTGAAAAGTGATATGGTGTTGCTGCATTGTTATGTAGCTGTAGTGTGGCAAAACAAAGTGTATATCTAAAACATGCAACAAGTTCATAGTGACAGAACTAATTTGCATACAAAGTTGGACTTCAGCCACAATTTGCAGCAACAGAGAAATGCATTGTCGTCTCAATCCTGTAAGATTATCACAGAAGATGAGCCTGTATTTTATTGTTGGGTGTGAATTATTGGCATTAGATCATAGTAACAGGCATGGTGAATTTCAGTGAACGAAGAAGTGATGCTCCAGACAGATATAGTCTAGAAAGTACAGGTAAAGCATGAATGTCTACAACTCTGCAAATTACAATCAATGTTTGTTTTAGAGAGTGGAGGAGACAGGAAGACACAGGACAGGATTTGTTTTTTTTGTTTGTTTGTTTGATTTGTCGCACTGTGAACAGCTAAGATAATATTGAAACAAGTCTCCTTGTAGTAACTGGTGGCTACCTCACTGAATAACAAGGACACAACAACACAATTCATGACCAGACTTTTTCTCAGCTTCCTGACCAAACCATTATAGTAAGGAAGTGTCTAATCAAACAATTAAGATCTGAGGTCATATACATCAATAACCAACTGAGTTATCACCGAGCCTTGGACTGGGCTAAACCTGACGGACATGGTTAACATAGGTCTTGATCTGAGGTCATACACATCAATTACCAACTGAGTTATCACCGTGCCTTGTACTGGGCTAAACCTGACAGACATGGTTAACATAGATCTTGATCTGAGGTCATACACAACAATGACCAACTGAGTTATCACCGAGCCTTGGACTGGGCTAAACCTGACGGACATGGTTAACATAGATCTTGATTTGAGGTCATACACATCAATGACCAACTGAGTTATCACCGTGCCTTGTACTGGGCTAAACCTGACGGACATGGTTAACATTGATCTTGATCTGAGGTCATACACATCAATTACCAACTGAGTTATCACCGTGCCTTGTATTGGGCTAAACCTGACAGACATGGTTAACATAGATCTTGATCTGAGGTCATACACATCAATGACCAACTGAGTTATCACCGAGCCTTGGACTGGGATAACCTGACGGACATGGTTAACATAGATCTTGATTTGAGGTCATACACATCAATTACCAACTGAGTTATCACCGTGCCTTGTACTGGGCTAAACCTGACGGACATGGTTAACATAGATCTTGATCTGAGGTCATACACATCAATTACCAACTGAGTTATCACCGAGCCTTGGACGTGGCTAAACCTGACGGACATGGTTAACATAGATGTTGATCTGAGGTCATACACATCAATGACCAACTGAGTTATCACCGAGCCTTGGACTGGGCTAAACTAAATGGACAAGGGTAACATAGATCAATGCTGCAGATATAATGCTGCATACACAACAAGTACAGTGACTGAATATAAGTATGCAACATTTCATTTTCCACTGATACACACTGGTTAGCAATACCAATATAAATTTTTACCTGTATGTCTGTTCTCTCCTGTGATTTCATGATTACTTAATTTTATTGCGGCATAACAACTTGTGAGCCTGATCATATGTGGGTTTTTTTTCAAAAATATTTCTTAAAAAGGCAAAAGACTGAAAATAATCCAAGTTATAAGTTTTTTGGTCAACAAAACTTTTAGTATTAGGAAGTTTACTGGGAGTGTTTTAAACATTTCACTTCTGAAAAACAATACTCCTGTTACTTTCAAATCACTTCATACTCCATTCCAAACTTACTTGTACTTTGTGCCTGTTTTGACGTGGGGCTCAGTTTTACATCTGAAAAAGGTGGGATCCCTCATACAGCCATTGTCTGACTGCATGTCGACCATTCCTCGTACACAGCAGGTCTTACCAACAGCTGATCCTTTCTTCATCTCCTCCCACATCTCCAGGTTCTTCTGCACACCTATAACAGGTAAATAATATAAAATATAGCACAAGTCTTCTACACACCTGTGACAGGTAACCATATAAAATACAAGTCTTCTCCATCCTTGTGACAGGTAAACATATACTATAGATCCAAAAGGGATCTTGATGTCCACCTTTATTTGATCTTTATTTGCTCTTTGATATTTAGATCTTTTCCCTTCTTTTCTCTTCTCAGTATTTTGCTCTTAATGAAAAGAAATTTGAACATTTCTTTGCAGAAATAGCAATAATAATCTTTACTAGGTGAACATCAAAATAACTGCCTATCAGCCATTTTGTTTTTTTTATCATTCCCAAAATCAAATGGACATATCTAGGGACCAAGGGGAACTTTTGGTATTTGAGAAAGATCCATCCAGTACTTCTTAAGAAATAGTGAGAACAAAAATGGTTTAAGGATGGATGACAAATGTAGGGCGATTTGAATAACCCACCATCACTGGGTTAAAAATATGTCAAAAGTATTTTGCACACTGTGATAGGTAAACATATACAAAATTATCAGCAAAATCAAAATGTCACTATGATGTCAGGGGTGATACATATCAACTATATCAGTGTCACTGTGATGTCAGGGGTGATACATATCAACTATATCAGTGTCACTGTGATGTCAGGGGTGATACATATCAACTATATCAGTGTCACTGTGATGTCAGGGGTGATACATATCAACTATATCAGTGTCACTGTGATGTCAGGGGTGATACATATCAACTATATCAGTGTCACTGTGATGTCAGGGGTGATACATATCAACTATATCAGTGTCACTGTGATGTCAGGGGTGATACATATCAACTATATCAGTGTCACTGTGATGTCAGGGGTGATACATATCAACTATATCAGTGTCACTGTGATGTCAGGGGTGATACATATCAACTATATCAGTGTCACTGTGATGTCAGGGGTGATACATATCAACTATATCAGTGTCACTGTGATGTCAGGGGTGATACATATCAACTATATCAGTGTCACTGTGATGTCAGGGGTGATACATATCAACTATATCAGTGTCACTGTGATGTCAGGGGTGATACATATCAACTATATCAGTGTCACTGTGATGTCAGGGGTGATACATATCAACTATATCAGTGTCACTGTGATGTCAGGGGTGATACATATCAACTATATCATTGTCACTGTGATGTCAGGGGTGATACATATCAACTATATCATTGTCACTGTGATGTCAGGGGTGATACATATCAACTATATCAGTGTCACTGTGATGTCAGGGGTGATACATATCAACTATATCAATGTGTGTGAGACCCGGGTAGGGAAGGATGGAATTATGATTTTGAAGTAGGAGTGGTGTATTTTTAAAGGTATAATACCGAGAAGCAACATCAATGGTAATGCAAATAGACTGAAACCGTAACAGCATTACTTTAAGGCTTAATTCATTGGTTGTAGAAATAGAACAGTGTTATATAGCTACATATAACTGTCCTATTAGAATATGTAGGACCCTTTGCTACATACTATTAGATCTATTTTTGGAATTAACTCGCTCTTCTCTCTCTTTCTTCATGGTTTCAGGATCTGTATCATCACAGTATGCCTTTCCCTCACGGATCAACTTCTCTCCCAGCTGCAGAATCAGGTCAAAATGGTCGGATGTGTGACTGAAGATGTCGTATTTGATGCCCAGCATAGCAACATCTTCCAGAATCACCTAAAATACCAACATATATAAAAAGAAATGATTTTGTAAATCCAGAATATGATTTTCAAAACTTTTTACAAGTCCTATTACAAGAAAAAACATAAACTGAAAATATCATTAAATTCTACAGAAAAAGTCTCTGAAAAAATGATGGCTATTCCAGTTAACATTTATCCCTATACCAGAACTCAAGGATTTTTAGGGCTATTCCAGTCAAAAAAATAACCTATCCCAGAACTTCAGGGTTTTTTAGGGCTATTCCAAAAAAAATTTACCCCATCACAGAACTTCAGGGATTTTAGGGCTATTCCAATGAATATCTAACCCACCCCGGGACTCAAGGTTTTGTTTAACGTTATTCCAATAAAAGATCTACCCTACCCCAATGACTGCAGGTTTAAATCCATAGAATTTAATTGATTGCTTGGAAGTTACAGCCAGGAAACTGAGCAATGGATAGAATTGATTTACTTAATGAATCTTCAGAAAAAGAAGATGTTTTTTTAGATCGTCACTAGTCATTTATCAGCCATACTGGTGGTATTATCATCATCATCATCATCATAGACAATGATTTTATCCCACTTATCAAACAATAAAAATACATGATGACAATATCAGCAACATCCAACAGCCACGAGAAGATGGAAGTCTATCAAGGAGAGTAGCTGTTTACCATCGTCCTATAAACCATCATTAGTGAAATGAAAATTATTACAACCATTTACAGAATACTTCAAGAATTTTTATTTTATGATCTGAACATTTTACTTACTTTCTCAAAGTCAGCATCCTCCTTGGCTGGGTTGGTGTCATCAAACCTCATGATGAGCTTACCATTGAACAGTTGTGCATAATGATAATTCAGGAGAGCTGCCTTAGCATGGCCAATGTGAAGATACCTATTAATAGCCAAGGGTTTCACACATCATAATTCTTCAAACAATTATACAAAAGTCCTCATTATGTTAAATTTAGCATGGCCAATGTGAAGATACCTATTAATAGCCAAGGGTTTCTGACATACTAATTCTTCAAACAATTATACAAAAGTCCTCATTATGTTAAATTTAGCATGGCCAATGTGAAGATACCTATTAATAGCCAAGGGTTTCTGACATACTAATTCTTCAAACAATTATACAAAAGTCCTCATTATGTTAAATTTAGCATGGCCAATGTGAAGATACCTATTAATAGCCAAGGGTTTCTGACATACTAATTCTTCAAACAATTATACAAAAGTCCTCATTATGTTAAATTTAGCATGGCCAATGTGAAGATACCTGATAATAGCCAAGGGTTTCTGACATACTAATTCTTCAAACAATTATACAAAAGTCCTCATTATGTTAAATTTAGCATGGCCAATGTGAAGATACCTATTAATAGCCAAGGGTTTCTGACATACAATTCTTCATTATACAAAAGTCCTCATTATGTTAAATTTAGCATGGCCAATGTGAAGATACCTATTAATAGCCAAGGGTTTCTGACATACTAATTCTTCAAACAATTATACAAAAGTCCTCATTATGTTAAATTTAGCATGGCCAATGTGAAGATACCTATTAATAGCCAAGGGTTTCTGACATACTAATTCTTCAAACAATTATACACAAGTCCTCATTATGTTAAATTTAAAGATAAACTTCTATTCTTTTGAATTTTCAGTCTTTCACATATTAAATAGAGTGTAATGCACCACAGTTTGAGTAGAAATTATTAAAAAAAGTTTATGATTTCTTGTGCTGATCAAAGTAATATTGCAGTGATGTATATACAATGTGTTGCACTTACCCACTCGCCTCTGGTGGGAATCTGACCACCACCTTTCCCATCTCAGCTCCTGGTAGGTCTACAAACTTTCCTTCATCCTTTTTCACCTGAAAATGTGTAAACAAATGACAGTTTACTCCCACTACACATTTTCTTGACTGGAACGAGCTCAGTCAAACAATCTTTGAAAAAAGGAAAAAAATTGGCTCTATAAAATTCTCGGAGATAGTTTGACAACCAGATCGACATTGAGTGGAAAAGTAAGTTCCAGCTGAATGTAAACAGGAGTATTTCACTGTTAACTGATGTTTAGGTTATGGATCCAATTGACACATTTGTTGTTTTCCAACAACTTTTGTCACTATTTATCATTTAATATTGCACTAACATTTTTTAAGGAACTAAGAAATTTTCTTTATTCTTTAACCACAGCTTTAATAGTAAATATTGTTTTCCTGGCCAAATCATTAACTTACAGCCGAATCCGACTTTTTATTTCCTTGTGACTGTTTTTTGGGTAGAACTTTCAGAGCAGATGTGAACGGCTCTTGATCACAGAGAAACCGGAAATAGCGTGAAACATTCACTGGGGCACTATCTCGAGCCATCAAGTCATACCACTTTTTGTTAACTGAAATAGGAAAATAATTTGAAGTATATAAATAGTACTTATTAGAGTTTAAGTTTAGAAGTAAAGCAATCATCCTAAAACTACTTGGAATCAATAGATTTATAAAAATTTCTGATGTGTGTCATGTGTAGTTTGATTTTGATAATGATTTTGGCAAATATGTCCACAATTATTTAAATAAGGTTTCTTTCAGATATAGCTAGTGTGGACTAATGAGCTGCAGTAGACTAAGTCTGTACTTCCCTCTCCTGAAGAAGTGTTATATGGTTTGGACAACTTTTAGCCTTCAAATCCACCAAAATTGAAAATTTTCCATTGAATGTAAACACATCTTTATTAAAGTTCACAATATGAAATGTTCTTTGCAATATGCTTCTATAGGAATATCCCTGTTTGAGAAAAGATACATTTAAATGATTACAAAGGAATAGATTTTATTTACCATGAAGTGCCTCCCAGACAGCAAAATCAGCAAGTGTTAGACTATGGCCAACAAGGAAAGTGACCAGAGTCAGTCTCTCCTCAAGGTATTGCAGGGCCGATGAGAACTCTGAGTCACAGGACAGATGGCCTGCTGCAAAAGTCATCCAATGGTCCACCTGCAAACAAATTCACATAATCACATACTTCCTCTCACAGTAATATTCTAAGTATCCTTTTGAATCATGTCAGAGTTTGTTTTAATATTCCCTTTATTGACTTTGTGTTGCCTGAAACAACATCAAATTCTGTTATTTGATAGTGTTGTTTCTGCACGGCAATACCCAATATATCTACATACACATGTATAGTAGAATTATATACTAGAAAACATTTTAAGACTCAAGCTTTCAACATTCCTGCTCCTATGCAAACAATGAATCTGATCAGGTGTAGAACATACCATTTTGATACAATAGGGGTAAATATAACCAGATGTGTCGAGAGGTTCTCCAGATTAGCCATGGATCTAAATGGGGCATGACAGGCAGGCATGGGTAATACTATATGCTTGTACTCTTCCCAAATATCATGTGCTTTTAACAAATTTATACCATTTTATTTTGAGAATTTACTAATAGTTGAAATAACAGATATGAAATAAGCAGACAAAAACACCTAAATCTTGCCTAAAGCTTGCACCAAAATAAACAATATAGACACTCTAAATCTTGTTTTTCATGGAATACTAATTAAAATATGACTAAGATTGTTTACATCTCTAAGAAAGGCATTATCACTATTTAACTGATGCAAAAACGTATCTTATTTTCCAATTATGTGTTGCATTTTATCTTAATTATGAAGAAAAAAATACATGACAGCTTTCATTACTCCTTTTTCAATTCTTGTAAGACAAGAAAAACAGTTTCATTCCTGCTCTAGATCTGCTTTCTCCAAATAGAATCATAATCAAACTATGAAACTTCTATTCATTTCATTGATACATACAAAAATTACATTTTAAATTGTGGTTGAAAACTTCCAATGTTTTCCCATAGAATACTAATATTGCTCTTATGTATATTGAAATCACCTACAAACAACTGAATCAACAAAACACCAACCTCTGTTTTCTGTAAAAACGATTCCCCTTGTAGTCCTTCATCTGGGAAAGTTCTTGCCAAGAAGCGACAGATGGAAAAATTTGATGTAAACGATACATTGCTGAAAATAAGAAACAACGAAATATAAATACATTTTTCGCAAATCAACATAAGGATTATTTATCCATATTTCTTGCATGATTTTGTCAGTAAAATAGAAAAAAATCAATGTAAAAGCATCACAACAACATGTCTGTGGTTATATACTGCTACATCTACCTACATGTTGGATTTTTACCCGTCAAATTCTAATATTTTTTTCAGTGAAAGAAAACTACCTATACTAAACTTGTAAGCAGACTTTCATTGCTCGCTTTAAATTGAATTACATTTTAAATCAATATTCATGAGTTTTTTAACCGAATGTAAATGTACATCAATAGGAAATACCCTTTGTAGTTTCAATGCTTTTTAATTTCATTTCACCTTTACTTATCATCAAAGTGAAAATCAACATTAATTTGAAAAACAGTAAATGGCTAATAATTAAATATGTCTGATCTGGTGATCTTTTTTAGTTTTGCCATCAACATGTACCTCCATTACTATTTAGAAACTCTGGAGAACACATCCACACAGACATATATATAAAGCATAAATATTACATTAATTCATATCAAAGTCTTGCTGTTTACAGCTTAATGATATCTCATAATGGCATATCTTTTTTACTTACCCTCCAACAGCAAGTGAATTCTCACTTCCTAATTCGGTAGATACTGTTTTCCCTTTGGACTTCACATATTGGGCAGTTAGGTATGCAGCTATACAAGTAGAAACCCCAAAAAAGGAAGCATAAGGATAAAATCAGATTTCATGTATCCAGTTATATAGGAGTGTTTTGTTTTACTAGCCAATAGCCAAACAGCTGATGTCTGTGTACACATTTTATACAAAGAATATCCATCTGATGAAAAATCCTCTGCCAATATCATCCTATGCTCAGCGACATCTCAGATTCAACATAATATTACATGTGTGATAACAAATCAGAGATGGTCTGGCATGAAAATGAAAATTTTATTCTGGGCTGCCAGAAAAAAGCTAAATTTTACCATTTCAAACATTTAAACAATTCCGCTTGTTGTAATGAACAAGTTTATTTTAATATTTTATGGAAATTCATAAAATTGATATGATATCTGTTTGAAATTTGAAACAATTATTTGGGAATAGACATCATCTGGCCTAATTCAAGTATAATATCAATTAGACTGAAAATCTCTGTCTCTAAAATGATGATATAATGTCTGTATTCACATTTATTTGCTGTTATGGATATTTACATTTTTATTGATTATGCTCATTTGAGAGTCTCTAAATGGGCATAATGAGTGAAAATGTAGAAGTAACAGCGTGGTGAATGTGAATATTGACTTTAAACGAACCTTTTAGAGACAGAAATTTTCGGTATATTCAACTAACTGCTTAACTTTTGGTAGTCTGAATTTTCAACCAGTGATGAGTGATAAATAGATTATATGGTCAGTGTCTTGAAATATAAGCTGCATTCTTGCTCGTGAAAGAAAGACGAAAGTGGTTCGTCTGACCTTTCCCCAGCTTTTGAACAGCGCTGTGTACCAGATTCGTTCGAAATCAGACTTCTATATTAGAAGTGTCTTACATGTTGGACAGGTCTACGACGGCAATAACCTTATTTGGAATTTGACACATTCTTACCTAACGCTGGCTTGTCTTTCTGTATTACAACCTTGTACGCCATTCTATAGGTATCCAGTTATAAGTTTAGCAGAATTGTGACAGATCACACGCTCATAAGGACTAATATAACCAGCTAATCTATTTTACATGTGGTTTCATCAGCCCGGAAGTAGGCCACTAATCACAAACCGATGGGTGGGCATGCGAAATCCGGATATCTATGCGTGCTGTCGGTGATGTTTCACCCAAGTTGCATCATTCAGACATAATACAGAACTGATAAGCTTCTTTTATCTATAAGATTTGGCTTCGATGAAAATATATGCGACCCTTAGGACATGTTTTGAAATACTTACGTACCTGTTTCGGTGTCGCTAGAGTTCCATTTTCTTAATTCCGTATATTGGATTATCAATCGTTTGCTGAATTCACATTTTTGTGTTAAGTTGATAACTTTTACCATAGCAACATATTAATTAATTAAACAAATAGAAAAAAAAACAGAAAAACACCACCAGAGACGTAGTTCTTGTGTTATCGTGCTGTGTGATACATTGGTATTTTAACGTACATTGTGTGCGCGAGGGAACTGATCCAATTGGTTGGTTTAATGAGTGTGAATGTGCTAAACAGCCGTCAATACCGAACTTTTCAATCACAAAATATAATTCCAGATACAACATGAGAGGAAAAAACATAATTTTTCTTCAACCATCATCGTCTGCACGAATCATGCATTGTTCTCTATAAATAATTTAAATCTATCTTTTTGTTTGTCAGTCAATTTTTTCACACAAATCGCTACTGGTCATGAACGACCTGTTAGGGGAACAGATCCAATCAAATTTGGCCAGAAGCATTCTTAGGGGAAGCAGAATCAATTTTGCGTAATTTGTAGGTTCTGACCCCACTGGAGTCCTAAATCTTCTTCAGTAGGAATTATTGGTTTTTGCTCAATTTTGCATAGGACTGAAGAATTTTCAGGTGAAGGGGAACCCATTTTGTATAAACAGGGTCTCAGCATCCGGAGCAACAGGAATGGGGCCCGATAGGGCAAACAGAGCAAATTCTTTGAAACCTTTCTTCAGCATGAATGACAGGATTTTGTCCCAATTTGGTCTGAAGCATGTATGGATGAAGGAGACTTTTGTATATATATGGTTTGGTTGACCTCTTTGGCGCAACTTGGTGAACCCCATTTGGGAAATAAATGTAAACTTTTAGAATTCATTTCCTTTAGTTTGGATGAAGCAATTAAGCCACACAACGCCAGATGAGCGGCACAAGCCCTATGGTCATATTACAACGAGTTTGTTTGTTAAAATACAAATGAGTCATGACACATAGGTGTATGAAAATCGCAGAGAACCCATTGCTGTTGCAGGCTTGCGTCTTGTGTTAAAACCAAAACTCATAATCTTATTCCCAGTATATACATAATAACAAGCAGACCTAATTATCCTCTAAGTACATGCTACTTTTTACACTAGACAAATTTGCTGTTAACTTTCAGATGCTGTGTCATTTATCACAGAGTTAGAACGGAAAAGCTATGGAATACTCAACACTGAAACCTACACAGCAATAGCATTAGCTGAACATGTTTTATCAAAATTAACTTCCGGCAGCAGCTATTCTGTGGACGAAGCATGGAATTAACATCGGAAATGATTGTTTTTTGTCAGTGTGGGTGTCAAACTGATATAAAGCATATACTTGGAAATACCAGACTAAGGTTGGATCTTTGGCAAGTTGTCAGCTTTCATATATTTATGTATATATATATTTTTTTTTGCTTCCGGTGGAGATGGTGGGTGGGTAGGGGGCCAACCAGGAAAAGGTTTCACTACTTTCACGAATTTTAGAATATATGATGTAAATATTTTTAAATTGAAATTAACAATTCATCATTTGAACATTAAACCTGTAATCTTATAGCTTAAGTTAACAGTGGTAAAAACAGTATATGGTATTGAATGTTGTGTATGTGATAAAGTACAGGGGCAGCTTCTGTCAAACTAAAGACATTCGTATTACATGCCGTGTCCTTTCATCCTTTGTCAAATATTATCTGAGTTTGGTTTCTTCTTGTGTCCAAGAAGTGGTGTCATCATTCAATTTCTGTGTTCCAGAAAAGAAATTACTTTGACATTGTGTTCCAGAAGGCAAATCCAACTGTCTACACGAGTGTTTATGACTTTGTTAGTTTTTTGGTCAGTCATGTGGAAAGTAAATGTATGGAAGACATGAGTGAATTCTAGTTTAGGAGATAATATTTCGTGATGACCTTTTCCTACTTTTTTTTCTACATTTTATTAATGACAAATGTTTGATGAAATGTCAAGGATGGTAAATAAAGGAACCCAATGACTAATCTATTGACAGGCTGTGTTTAGCTTTCTATAGCTCGCATGTTCAGTGAGAAATTAGCATCAATAAATATCATCTGTTGACCATTTCAAATTTCTGGACATATTCTTTCTTCTACAAATATCTTATTATTGGCAACCCAATGTAGACTTGACTTACATCGATTTATTTTTAACCCTGACATATAAAACGTGAACACCATTCAACAGGAGATATATATGTAACATCTGTAAATAGCCAAAGTAATATAACGTTTCCGATAGCACTACACATTTCCTGTCATTGTTAGATCTGAAAGATCATGTTAAAAGTTCAACAATAATTATATATAGTGATAATGGATCACCTTGGCCACAGCCATGTCCGAGACAGAAGAAAGAAAAGAAAATGACTTTTGTCAATAATACATGTACAACTATAAAATGTCTTGAAATATTTACATAACAAGAAAACAAAATTAAATCATACCAAAGTTTGTTTTGATGAAATTCCTTTAATTACAATTAAAACCCTTTCCAGAATCATTTTTATTATTATTTTTTAAGTATCCAAGTGTCTCAGTTATGACACAAAAGGAAAACATGGATGGATTATAGAAGTCAGAGAATTACTGTGAACTAGTTAATAATACCTTTTCATTTAGAGTGAGATACAGTAGAGCCAAACAATTAATTAAGCTGCATCATAAAGCTGTTTCGTCCTTGTAGGAATCGTCAGTGATGCTGAGGGCCTAACATTGGAAGCCTAGAAGGCGACTGAGTGAAATCAAAAGTGATCAATACAAACATCAATATCTAGATGGGGAGGTGCAGCAGCCCCATAGCTACGGTCTTCAATAGTGACTGTTTAAATAGCTACTGATCCAGGGAATAGTGAATGTAATTGTAAGAACTAGTTAATGAACATCATATAGAGACATCTAGATCCTTATGTGATTTTTGGCAGCGTTAAAGTAATAGTTTCTTTGTCAATTATCATGCTACTTTGCTCCATTACCTGAAGTCACACTCCGTGTAACCAAACTACATCTCCTTTATGATAATCATTTATGGTTACTGTTTTATTTCAATGTACAGGCATAGAAACAATCGGTTGGTACCCATCCAGCATCACCTCGAAAGGATCCAACTGACCTGAAAGTTCTAGGCTGTAACCGGAAGGTATTGACAACTGAATGTGTATAATAGAAACGTTCGGTTGATATGTATTTGAGAGCATAACAATGTGATTGCAAGCAATGCGAATCTGATGATATCATTATCTTCCTTTGTCATAGGAAACACTTGTTATTTATCATTGATGTTAAACACTGACAACTACACTTCATGCAATGTTTGTTTCAGGTGAAGCAGTCTCATAATTAAATACATTTCGTAATCTCTTATATCAGACAATTTTAGAATAGCACCTACGTTTCATCATGTCAAGCAGATTACTTCTATACAAAGAATTTTTGACGATGCCTGTGAAATTTGAAAATTGATCCACTATTTTGGAAGCGTTAGGTAACTTTGACGTATGGTTGGAATTACAAGCGGTGATCTCTAAGTAAACATATCATCAACCAATATCGAGTTCCTGGTGACGTCACCAGAATCTAGTGTCAAAGGTTACAAATTACATGTTTCATAACGCTTGTAATACAGTTATTCTCGCGACACCAAGGATTAATTTTTTTACGAGTAGATCAAGAGTCGATGATGAAGATGTCGTAGGACTACACTGACAACTTGTCAAAACCATTAATTTAGTGATACTAATAGATATCATCAGCTGTTTCCGAACCACCACGGACTGACCACTGAGGTGCGATAAGCAAGTGTAAACACTGTCCATTGACCGACTGGAGCTAGTTAGAAGTGACCATAGAGATAATGCAAATTAAATTCCTGTCACGCGGTTTACATCCAACTTTCTTACTGATATTCGTTAAAAAAAATAATAAGACGCCTTCTGACGACTCTATGAATCATCTTTCGAGAAATATCGTTTTCAAAGAGATAGATATCTTGTTTCAAATCAACTTACTCGACACTTTAAGGGAGTGAATCGAACCTTCATCGAAATTTTTTATCGCTTTGACAAGTTTGAGGTTACTGTAAAATCGTTCGCTTTCGTTTAGATTTATTTTCAGTTTTTCAAAGGTACTCTTTATTCACGAATTCATGTCAACGAACTGTTAAAATATGAATACGCAGATTTATGGAGCTATCTTTAATCTCGAGAGAAAGTTTCCACGAAACAGTTTTTAAGCGACGAAAAGTGAGTCCCTTGAAATGATGGAACACTGGTGTCATAATTACAGAGAATGTTTACATTAATGATACCAACATACCAAATTAATTCTTAATATAAATCATAACATAAATTAATTGCATTTTAATTTTATCCCCGCCCCCATAAATACCTGGTTTGAAAGTTCAAATGTATCGTAGTGTAAAACTAAAGTTTTTAACACCTGATTTAACTGAGGGACATAAATATGCAGTTATATAAAATATTTCACTTTTGGTGATACATTTAATGGTCGCAACATAAAGATCATCTGAACGAAGTGTTGAGGGACCTTTTGCAGTTATTATCACGCTGATATTCAAATGGGTTCCGTTCGTCCTTCCGTCCGTCAGGATGCTGCTTTCCGCATGATTTCTTTTGAAGGACTGGTAGGATTTTGATGAAATGTGGTGGCTGATTTCTTAATCACTCTCGGATGCTGTTTACCGCATATCTTTTGAAGGACTTTGGAACCATGGACTTGGATATTTACCCTGTGTGATCTCGAGAATGTCGATATAAAGTTTTTCCTGTTCGTTTATGATAACAACCAGTCAAGTAACTGGTAATTATGGATAGGAGGGATCTTCCACTACTCGTACACTAAGGTGGAGCCTGGCAAAAGAAACCTTTGACCAACCGACCCTGACCCACTGATCGAACATCGAAACGTGACTCAAGTGCAAGGCCATAATGTACAACAAAGAAAGAAAGTTGATACAATGTACATTTGAAGCATTATCCCATGCTAGAAATTAGTCTAGAAGTGAACGGCTTAAGCAGATCACAACGGACAAACTGCTGGACATCGTGAGGCAGCGATGTCATTCTTTGTATATACTTGTTTTACAATGTTATCGTTCTGCTTCTAACAACATATTTGTTGAAGTGACTATATTGAGCAATATTTACGAAAAAATTAAGAATGATGGATTATTTTTGTGAAAAAAAACCGACGAAAGTTAGGCCTTTCAAAAACATATGATTTTACAGTAGCAGTTTTCAACTGATGCTGAAAATTAAAACAGATTATTTCTGTGTGTTATATATCAGAGTTCCCCTTCTTCCTTTTATGTGTCAAGGTAACTACTTATCGAATTGATCAAAATATATTTCGTTTGTAGAATTCAAGATAACATACATATGCTATGCTTTGAGTTATCATTGCTTTCTAATCATATCGAACACACCTGTTTATCGCAAACACGGAAGATACGTCATATTGAAATCAGATAGCGATATTATGATTGGCTGATGGTCTTAATCTATAAATAACGGATGTATTTATATATAGGTATATAACGGTTACACACCTTTACATTTCATTATTTATTAATGTAGTTTGAAGTGGATGTGCTATACTGCACCACAAAATGGTCATTGCTAACCAGCCCGTTTGCTGTACCCTAGTAGGTGATGGTATGGTAGGGAAGACATCAATAGCACACACTTTTATTGGAAAACGGGTGGAAGAGAAATATGTGGCTACAGTATTTGAAAACTATACAGGTATCTCTTGTTACTGTGTCTGGTATACCACATTTGTTTACAAAAGCAGAAACGTGAATTTTTGTCATTTAATTTGTTCATATGACTTTAAGAACATGTATATGAAATGAGAAATAATTAATGTTTGTAAAAGCATATTGACGATTGCAAACCTCAACAGAGGTAAAAACATCTGAATCATAACACCATTGTAATGCAATATTATAATACTGCCACGTTTGAAAACATGATAAAGAATTATTCAGGCTTATGTAATCAAGAATATATTATTTTCATCTACATCTATCATGGTAAGGAGCTATAGCAGTAATTGATTGATATATGTGCTTAAGAAAGAGTTTTTTCGTGTTTAACAATCAGATTGCTTTGTTATTGCAGGAGGGACCTACATCAATGGAGAGAGTCATACAGTCAACATATTCGATCCTGCGGGTCAGGTATGTTCATTCTTGATAAATATAATCGTTGCTATGCTGCACAAATTATATTGAGATGGAGTTAAGATGTTCAGGCGCCAGTTTCTTTTTAATGATTACGAATGTTGTAGATGAGTCCATCTCCCTATCTTTTTTGACATTTGTTCCGACCAAAATTTTTAAACTGTCGCCTCCTAGGTTTCAATAATTAAGACCCTTAACATCACTGACGAGTTCAAGAAAGACGAATCAGCAGTATGATGTAGTATAATCTATTGCTTGGCTCTACACACTATCCTTGGTGATATCTGTTTATGTCTATTGAACAATCTTTGTATTGAAAGGTGCTTCACACGGTTGACATATGTATTTTTTGCAATCCTCTGATACAAATATGAAATTATGTGTTCTGGGTAAGATAAACTTATCGTTGTCCCTTATCTATATCAATCTCACATGATCAAACAAAGCAAGCTGCACGTGGTAGTCACAAGTTTATATTTTAGTTTTATCGGCTAGTCTATCCTGATACTATAAATAAATACTGCCTTATTTTTACATCTTAGCTTGACTAGATATATTGTAAAATCTTTAGTAGACATTAATACGTTAAAATGATTATCAATTCCTTATAAGTTTAAGAAAATCGTTTCTAACATGAAGACTTTTGTTTTCAGCATGACTATGACCGAATGAGGGCCTGTACTTATACAGACTGTGAAGTAATACTTGTGTGCTACAATGCAAGCGACAGAGACACATTTGACAATGTTACATCATTTTGGCTACCGGAAATAAGGCGGTTCAGAGGCAAGAAATCAACACTCATTCTTGTTGCAACAAAAACGGATACTCGGAATCCGGATTCTGACTCTTCAGTTAGTACACAAGAAGGAAAAGACTTGGCAAGGAAAATCAACGCTGTAGGATACATGGAAACTACTACACAGAATTATAAAAGTGTGAAAGACGTTTTCGAGAAAGTCGTCACAAGTGCTTTAAAATGCAGAAAGAAAAAGAACAAATTTTTCAAAAATATTTTTCGGCGACAACCAAACCGTTTTTAAGACAAGAATGCCTTTGTGAACTTATAGTATGATATCCTCCCGGGAAGAAACAACACGCAAAAATACATAATTTATTTTATAAAGTTCGATAATTATTTGTATCAAACATATTCCTATGGAGTAGAATAGTACACGGATGCTTAGACTTTAAGAGAAAATAGATAACTGATATAAAATTTTTGTAGCTGAAAATTGTTTCTACGAAAGTTCTGTTTGTTAGTGGACCTAGTTTTACCAACCTTTTGAAATCCATAATTATTGCTTATGCACCAATGATAACGGTGTATATTGATACGGAAATATATGTCGGCATTCACATATCAATTCAAAAGCAATCTGTTTGTAACTGTTATAAACATATTCGCACTGGTCAACATCGAAACATCCGAAGTTTTAAAGTGTACTTTAAGGAGGTCGTGTTTGAGTGATTGATCCGTGAAAGCGATCTGGTGAATGAAAGATAGCCTTCCTCTAGGTTGTATATCCGTTCCATGAGATATTTATTTATCTAAGTCGTGCCGATATCACATTCCTTTTTGTATGAAGCAATGTTTTTTAGTTTAACAAATAATTTATACCAAAGTCTACACACTGTTGTTAATATTATAATATGCCTAGTGCAACCAAGTTTATGTTTTATATGTACAAAGCTGCTGGTCAGCGAATTTGTCAAAGTCAATAAATGTATTGATGAAAATCAATGTTTGGACTATTCTTTCCAATATCTCATCTTCCCATAAATGTATTGTAAATATCTATATTCAATTTGGGTTTTCTTCAAAGTTTCCTTTTCTTTGTATAAATGTATTAAAATGTCTGTGTCTGTCTGGAATGACTTACCAGCAACACATGTCAGCCTGCCAAGCAACGTCTGACCTGAACAAACATTAACATACAGATAGTTGAATTCTGTAGTGACCTGTATCATTTTCGGAATGTTTTAGTCACAACATTAACGTATTGTTGACAGACGATCAAGAGTTAGAAGAAAATATTGGCCAAGGGGTCAATAAGTACTAACACTTTACATCCATATTTGCATTGCTGGTTGCAGGTAGACAATAAATGTTAATTCACTAAGCGAAAATAAACCTGAATTTTTTAAGAGAGATGCAATATCATTTAGTAACAGACTTAAAAAACAACTATTTAAACAATACTGAATTCCACTCAAAACACATAGATCAAATCCATGGATCCAGGATCATGTCATAAGTGATACCGGGATATTTTCGCCCCAGGTTATTTTCGCCCTTGTACCATTATACATAACTTCGCCCTATGTTTATTTCGCCCCTTGATGATTATATAATGTAATCGTAACAAAATTTCGCCCCTATTGTAAATTCGATCTCTTTTTTCATAGACGAAAAAAGGCGAAAATTAAACTGGGGCGAAACTTTTCCGGTTTGCAGTAAGGCTTCCATAACAATATTGTTTCGACTTCAGTTTTTAGGGGTACACACCTTTCCTACATAGGGCTAAATGACAGGGAGTGATTTATGTGATCAATGAATAATAAAACCCAGGATGTAATTTATTAAGTTAAAATTTTAAACCTCAATACGACGTTGTTGAAACTAGTTTGAACCAATTTGTATGATGAATTATTTGTAGCAATTTGTAGAAAAATGCTTCATTTATCAGGTAACATTAGGATGATTATTTTCGCCCATTTAGTTTTGATTTTATTTTAAGTACAGCCACATTCCATGCCTTAAGTAATGTCGAAAGTGTCTAGACACATAGAAATAAATACCAGATTTTAAAAAACGTACTTTTATAAATCATGACTAAAAATAAGTTGATTGCAACCAAATTCAAAACATATGTTTTCAATTTGCAACTTTTTGCCAAATTAAAGATGAACATATCTATCCGTCGTCAAGGGCACAAGCGGAATTGGAATGACAGCTAGGGGACATTGCAGTACTATATTTTATGCTTAGGTCATACAAATCTTAAACACTCTGTTACAAGAGGTATCCAATTTTGTGTTAGAAGGCCACATCCACGTTTGCCAGATCACTGACGTTCGTCGGTGAGACAAGACTAAAGATAGGACCAACTAACCACCAACTCACCCACCCATCCATCCACCCAAACCAACCCAACCCAAGAACAAAGCCAGGTGTACCTTTAGAGAGTGTCGTTTACAATCTTATATACGAAAAAAAATGTGGGTTATTTGAAGTTGGGTAAGAGAGAATCGAATCGGCGACAAGAAATCACTAGACAACCTTATCAGCGATGACCACTTTGCATTACAATTTCAAATGAGAAAGATGGCCATGAAAAGTTCCTATCTTTTCCATGTATTTCTCCATGGCACAATTATCTTATCATTTTTTAAAATGCTCACGAATATCTATAAGTATACATTTGGTAAGATATATGTTCCTACCTTAAATGGTTTTTCAATGTGTATTTTCTTTGTCCGATTTTGTTTGATTTGTGCTCCTACTCTCTTTTTCCAGTCTTCATGTAAATCTTTTTTTATACTTTGCCATAGTTTTCAGGAATTTTAGTTTGAATTATGATCATTTTGCCATGTTGGTATTTTCTTGATGTTTTTTGAGAACATCTATTCATCCAGATTTGATAACGAGTTAAATAATGTCTCTGATTTCACGGGATTATTTCATGAAATTCGAAGATTTTGTCAGTATAATTTTTATGACGTATTAGTATGACGTATATAACTCTAACTTACTACTATGTATTGTGATGTGCTCCCAGAATTTTAGCATGTAATAGTAGCCTTTTTGGAGATAAAACCTGCTGGGCCAGATTCTCACATATCCGTTATCAATGACAAACGTTCCTTGATGTGGTTGTACCGCCCTAAAACCCATGTGATATATTAATATATTTGAATTACAAAATTCACTCAAACAGTTATACTGACTTTTCCACGTTTTTATTTATTTACTTCTTCATTTAAAATTCGTTAACACATTTGAATTTGAAACTATCAACCTCCGTCATGTATGAATTGCTGATCCGACAATTTTGATAGATATGATTCTGATGAAGCTATTTTAAGAACAATCAGTACACATGGTAACTTTGTGTCGAAGGGGGATAAGTACATGTAGTCATGGAAACTCTACCATTTTTTCTACGTAATCTGTAACATGATATCTGAACTGTGAACAGAGGATTTGCTATATTGAGTAGTACATGCTATTGACGGCGATGGCATAAAAACACCGCATTACAATTCTTTTGACAAATCAAAATTGATTTTAAAAGACCTCTTTTAAACAATGTGTTTCTGCATGTGTCTTAAGAAATAGATCGCGCAACAAATTTTATTTTACGTTCAACAAATTTATTTCCATCGTGCTGACAAGCATGAATGTAAACAAACAGAAAACTTGCATACCATTGAGAAATGTCCATGTTATTAATTATTGATAAAAATCATCTTGACGTCTCCAACATATTTAGTGAAATGATATTTACAAGCATCGCTTAATCACGTGAACACTCTTCTTAGTCTCTGTTGTTCATAAGATCGGAAATTCTGAAATGCTTAAATGTCACTTATGATCGTGGGAAGATCTTCACAAAGAACAATTTTTTCTTTCTGCATTATATTGCACACATGAATACTCTCTCGAAAACATATGTTACAGTGTTGTTTATCTCCCTTGTGAACTGCTCTTCTTACTTGTGTACTGTACTGACTGAAGAGTCAGAATACGCATACCTTATACGCAGATAATTGCAATGTACAGTTTATTCACAATATTCAGACGCTGCACCATCGAAAAAAATATTTGTTTAAAAGTTTGAACGTTCGGAAATTCTTTATTGTAATTATTATTTTCTTCCATCCGCTCTCCAATAAAACAAGCGATTGACGTCAAAGCGATTTACGACAAAAATATTTCCTTACAATATGCGGACCGGATGAGTAATATAGTTCTGCAGGGACTATTGGCAATGTTATTTATAAAATGAAGTAAATAGGCCCTGAACCAAGTACGTCGTTTTCAATCAGAAACCTACAGCATGGATATAGATATACTTGTATATATCTTATATAGAATCATATGATAGACATGTGTGTGAAACACAACGCAAATTACAAGACACTGTCACTCAACATTTCACAACAGACATGCCATGAAATCATAACTGAGACTTATCAATCTAAATACATTCCCTATTTGTTGGAGTCTGTTTTGTATTGGTTTTAACCTGGATATCCACTGCTATGAAACAAATATTGAAATTATAAACTTTTATAACTTATCAAAGCTTTTAATTTTCACGTTAAACATAATTAAAAACTCTACTGAAATGATATACTAAGATACAACGAAAGCTCTACTGAGTATCAATTGATACAACCAGTTGTAACGACAAATATTGAAAATTTCTCTCAAGAAAGAGAATATTTAAGCAAGTGGCGTTAACTAGCATATAGTGATATTTTGGAAATTTACATATTGATTGATAGAATTAAATATATCTTAAGTTAGAAAATGTGCCCTTATGATGATATTGCGTGAGGATCAATACCTTAGTTTTCATAAATGAAGTTAAAACCTGGACACTACACATTGATAATTGAGAACATCTTGAGCTTTGCCTCAATTTCTGTGTGTATAGGCAATGCAGAAATTACTCAAAACACGCATGCATAAACTTGATTGTTTTGAAAACTACTTGGACTGGTGATCGAAGCCACTGATCGGAAAAATCAAAATCAGATGTACGTTCTATAATGCTGTAAATGAACTACGTCGTTTCATTGACAATAAACGTTTATTATTTTGGAATAACCTTTGTGTAATGTACTTTGTGAAATAACGAATCAATTATCGAAATGTTCAAAAGCTGATTTTTCCGTTTACCACCGACGATTAATCTCGACGCACGTGGGTTAAGTTTTTTAGGCACTGGTTCAATTTTTTTTATAATTCCTAAATAAGGTATGGATTGTAGATGTAATTGTGCTTGTTTGAAAAAAACTGAAGAGAATCTGAGAGGAGATGATAACATTTCTTTGGTAATCAGAATCTTTTTTAAGTATATCGTAATTTCAGTAGTATACTTTAGCGTGTTAGCAACAAAATGTCAAATGAAGTTCTAAACTGTGACAAAGAAGGTTACAGAAACATAGCATTCACGTGCTCCCAACACATACACCCACACCGCAATCACTGACAGGCAGTATTTGTTTTGTTTTGTATTTGTTTAACCTTTTGTCCCTGTGATGAAGGCTTTGTGTTTGACCTCTTATCCTTGTGATGAAGGCTTTGTGTTTATCCCTGTGATGAAGGCTTTGTGATTGTCCCTGTGGTGAAGGTTTTGTGTTTGACCTCTTATCCTTGTAATGAAGGCTTTGTGTTTATCCCTGTGATGAAGGCTTTGTGTTTGTCCCTGTGATGAAGGCTTTGTGATTGTCCCTGTGATGAAGGTTTTGTGTTTGTCTCTGTGATGAAGGATTTGTGTTTGTCTCTGTGATGAAGGCTTTGTGTTTGTCCCTGTGATGAAGGCTTTGTGTTTGCCCTGTGTTGAAGGCTTTGTGTTTGTCCCTGTGACGAAGGCTTAGTGATTTTACCTGTGATAAAGGCTTTGTGTTTGAACCTTTGTCCTTGTGATGAAGCTTGGTGTTTGTCCCTGTGATGAAGGCTTTGAGTTGTCCCTGTGATGAAGGCTTTGTGTTTGTCTCTGTGATGAAGGCTTTGTGTTTGTCTCTGTGATGAAGGCTTTGTGTTTGTCCCTGTGATGAAGGCTTTGTGTTTGTCCCGTTGATGAAGGCTTTGTGTTTGTCTCTGTGATGAAGGCTTTGTGTTTGTCCCTGTGATGAAGGATTTGTGTTTGTCTCTGTGATGAAGGCTTTGTGTTTGTCCCTGTGATGAAGGCTTTGTGTTTGTCTCTGTGATGAAGGCTTTGTGTTTGTCCCTGTGATGAAGGATTTGTGTTTGTCTCTGTGATGTAGGCTTTGTGTTTGTCCCTGTGATGGAGGATTTGTGTTTGTCTCTGTGATGAAGGCTTTGTGTTTGTCCCTGTGATGAAGGCTTTGTGTTTGTCTCTGTGATGAAGGCTTTGTGTTTGTCCCTGTGATGAAGGATTTGTGTTTGTCCCTGTGATGAAGGCTTTGTGTTTGTCCCGTTGATGAAGGCTTTGTGTTTGTCTCTGTGATGAAGGCTTTGTGTTTGTCCCTGTGATGAAGGATTTGTGTTTGTCCCGTTGATGAAGGCTTTGTGTTTGTCTCTGTGATGAAGGCTTTGTGTTTGTCCCTGTGATGGAGGATTTGTGTTTGTCTCTGTGATGAAGGCTTTGTGTTTGTCCCTGTGATGAAGGATTTGTGTTTGTCTCTGTGATGTAGGCTTTGTGTTTGTCCCTGTGATGAAGGATTTGTGTTTGTCCCTTGGGCAAGACATATAATTTCTAAAATGGTACTTGTTATTCCAGCGTTATGCTTAACGTAATGATGATGTTAAGACTGGGTTGCCAGCTGTCACCGAAATGTGAATGAACGAAGCATACCGCTAGGTTGGCGCTGCAGGGTCGGCTTCGCAGCGCAAATTGGTGTATGATACATTAGTTTTAACGAATTATTTGTGATACGAATGAATACTATTACATAGATGATATTGTTCTTTTAATGAGCAAAACAACAAATCACGCAGTCATTTGTCCAATCTGGATACGATTTTCGCGGGGAGTCTTGCACAAATATTTTGCCGCCTCTCATCACGTGTAATTACCTTTCATCAACGATTTTTAAGGATAAAACAGAATCCTGTGATTTGCTTTTATAGTGGTTATTGTCCCTTCAATAGTGAAGACGCCTTTGCCTGTGTTTTCGAAAGGCCACTCTTTCTACTGATAACAATAGACACGGAGATGTTTGAACCTAATTGGCAGGTTCTTGCTTAATCGTGAAGTTCAAGCCCGTTCTATGATTTTATGTGTCTCACATAACGCTTAAGAAAGACTACCATTTCTGGGGCCTGAATCGCTTTACACTTAGTCGTCAATGCATTACATGACTTTACTGAAGCCTGACACAATGTTTCGGCAGCTTTTTATGTCTTCAGTCATATTGAATATAATAGGTTGTCATGGAAACCTCACCTTTCGCTGGTTTCAATGTTTTTCACATCCGGTAAAACTGGAAGACATGAGAACAACACAATGATGTTGTAAACGACATGCTTACGATCGACGGTGTGTTGTAAGTCAAAATTTATTTTCAGGCAGATAACATTTCTTGCCACTGAGAGAAAACAAGAGAGTAAAATGCAAAATTAACGATTTTTTAATTTCAACGTTGGAAAAAATTCTCTACCGCTTGATATCGTCAACCAACATTTGAACAATTGTGGTCAGGAAACAGAGAACTATCACCCCGGTACAATTTTACATGAAATGCATAATGATCCTATACTTTGTGTAAATAGTGATACCTTACCTCTGTATATTGTAACCGTTACGTCGCAACTGTCATTACTGTATCATATTACAGGTACTTGAATATCTTAACTGTGATTAGGGGATTATTACATATTATATAATGAATTATATTGATAGTAGGACATAATTGCATAACACCACAAAGCAAAATTAGATTTATATGATAACAATCTAACGATGTATTTTGCTTTTGAATGCGTTGATTATATTGAGTATATTATAGGTAAAATCAACAATGACACTGTTCCGTATCAAACAAATTTATTCTTTTCCAGCTGATCAGCAGTCATGTATATATAACAAAATATTCAAATGTTAAACAAATCATTGTTTCTAACCCCTATATCGGGGTCACATTTTTTACCCCTATAACGTGGTTACATTTTTTACCCCTATAACGTGGTTACATTTTTACCCCTATAACGTGGTTACATTTTTACCCCTATAACGGGGTCACATGGGGTCACATTTTAGACCCCTATAACGAGGTCACATATTAATGTCATCGTCGGCAAATGTGTAAAATATCCATAAAATGCAATACCAAGCACCGTTTTAATCATGTTTGTTATTCATAAAAGTATTTAATTCTCTCTGCAACACATTCATGTGGATGACTTTTACACATATTGTTTAAATGTTATGTATAAGACAGAAGCAGTTTTGAAAGCATATATTTGATTGTTTATCGTCGGAATATCCGTTTCAGGAAATTATTCTTTTTCTTTCTGCATTTTAAGGCACACACAACTACTTTTTCGAAAACATCCTTTACACTATCAAAGTTTTGTATCGTCGTTTCCATATATCCCACAGCATTTATCTCTCTTGCTAACTGCTCTCCTTCCTCTGTACTAACTGAAGAGTCAGAATCCGGATTCCGAGTATCCGTTTTTGTTGCAACAAGAATGAGTGTTGATTTCTTGCCTCTGAACCGCCTTATTTCCGGTAGCCAAAATGACGTAACATTGTCAAATGTGTCTCTGTCGCTTGCATTGTAGCACACAAGTATTACTTCACAGTCTGTATAAGTACAGGCCCTCATTCGGTCATAGTCATGCTGAAAACAAAAGTCTTCATGTTAGAAACGATTTTCTTAAACTTATAAGGAATTGATAATCATTTTAACGTATTAATGTCTAATAAAGATTTTATAATATATCTTAAAACTGCTGAACACAAAATCTTAATATTAAATTGTATTTCCATAGCTGATGTAGTAAGACAAGTACAAAAACGTAATGCTAGGCGTGCGTCATGTCGGTTCCTTATACTTATTGATTGAATGAATGAACATATAGTATATTAATACATAGCTTCATAATTATTTTATAATATATACCGTCCGTTAACAATAGTTAGACGATGTAATGTAGACAAAATTATTAATTTGATATTTGAAGGTTTGGAAATCTTTTACTATTATTATTAATTTTGTAATATACCTTTATATAATTATCAAGCAGCAGGCATAATTTCTTGCCATTAAAACGCTGATGTTGAATGGTTACTAAAGAAGATACTTACATGACCAGCAGGATCGTAAATGCTAACAATATAACTTTCTCCATCAATTAAGGTGCCTCCTGAAAAAGAAACAAAAATCAAATATGTCAATTACATCCTGACACGCTATAATTATAGGAAAAAAGATAACATCAAGAATAAAGATTTTTGCTATCGTCTCGAATTTACCTGAAACATAAAGTACTTTGAAGAAACTTATATCATCAATTATCTAGCTTTGCACGTCGAGCAGCAAATGTATGCTTGAAGATATGATCAGAGAAAAGATTTTCACCTGCATAGTTTTCGAACACTGTAGAAACGTAATTTTCTTCCATTCGCTCTCCAATAAAACTGAGTGCAATTGATGTCTTCCCAACCATACCATCACCAACTAGAGTACAGTAAACGGGTTTACTGGCAGTTACCATTTTACAAGGTAACATAGATTGTCCACTTTCAAGGTGTCGTAATATATCGGAATCCACAAATGGGTTTATTGTCTTATATATACCTTATCGTTTACAGGTTCAAGAGTCAGCCAATCAGCATCCTACTAGCTTGTTTCCATGTCGCTAATATGTGCGTATTGACGTGACCCTGTATGGTAACCGTTGTTAAGAAGATACTTATATGGTATAGCAAACATCAGTATGACAAACCGTACACAGCTTTCGTTTAAAAACGTTTCAGATAAATTGATGTATAAGAAGCTGATTTTAGGATCGGATCGCAAAAGAATATCAAATAAGGAATATGTATCGAAATCAAATCTGTTAAGTAATAAACTATGTTTCACATATAACAGACATTGAATCCTGATTAAGGTAGGTTGATACGGAATTCGATATAGGCTTTGATAGAGAATAGAATTGGAACGTGTAAATAGAGATTGGGCATTCAGATAATTGGTTAGACATGTACAAATTAAAAGTACTTGTATTTTTAAAAAACAAAACAAAAAACCAAAAAAAACAAAAATTGTACGTCTTTGTTTCTATAACATCTATACTGATTTAGAGAATTTCACTTATAATTCTTTTCGCAATCAATCATGATTTTATTCTTGCAAATGGCCAAATATAATATTTGATATATCATAAATATCAAGCTTAGTGGATCAGGGTATAATTGACAACTGGATTTCTTTTACAGCATTGAAATATGCTTAACTTAAGCAAATATATAGTATAGTGAGTCTATACCACGCTATCAACAAACAGGATTAAACGTAAAACCAGAACCTAATTTCAATTCAACGCTTATAATGTCGATAGTTTCTTAGACATCTCAAATATGTCAAACCGCGCATCATAACATATTTCTATGTTACAAATCAACAATTGGGCCCACTTATTTAAAATGACACTTCAAAACTTCATAAATATCCCGGGATATTTAATTCTAAAATACAATTAAAATATTTTTGTATGTAAAATCCTATATTTGTATTGCTTCGGAGTAATGTGACTGAGTGTGATGTTGACATTGACAACCCTAAGTATCGAATAATATTTGTACTTGGGTTATCCGACGGATAAGAATATGAACATTGTACAAAAGACACAATCTCAAGTGAAAATCGCAATCCAATACAAATTTTGAATTAGAAACAATAGATCAAAATGATTACGTAAACTACAAGTACAAGTATTTCGTTCTTCGCAGGACTCGTTGGTGATGCCGAAATCCTAAATTTTAAAAAATAGGAGGAGACGAAGAAAATGGAAATTGATCGAAAGGGATGTCAAAATGAGGAAACATTAATGCACTAACCACATAATTCATATTTCGTAAGTTACTGATTTATGATAATGTAAGAAAAAAAGTTATGTTCATGTGTACATTCTGAATCCCGACACTATTCGAATTAATAACAAAAGCGGCATACAGGTTAGGGGAAAACCCAACAACTCTGCCAGTAGTATACTTGTTGGCTTTTCGTTGAAGCGTTGGGAACAATGTAAGAAATTAATCTTTCACAATATACCGCATCTCTTAAATCTGAAAAAAAACCCAAACAAACAAAAATGATTGTTCAATCTGTTTAGCAAAAATATTGCAAATTGGGCACAAAAATGCAAACAGAGTTTGAAATAATGAATTCATGACGGCAATTCTTAGAGACACTTACAAAGGTTTTTAATCTACATTGATCTTTAACCTTCATTTTAAGTTGCAAATTGTAATAATCTACGTTAGCTACATATAGCTAGGAAAATAAGACTGGGACAATTGTCAGTACTGTCACTCACAAACTTTAAGTTTGTTAGATTGTGTGTTATATACGATATGTAATTACAATCAGAAGAATATAATGCATCATAATCAAATGTGTATTTTCATTTAAAACTTGTTGATAAAAAAATGTAAATACATTCATGAAATAGATTAGTAAATAGATGAATAAATAAAAGGTTTCATCTGACGAATCTTAAAAAATGACAACGCTTCTTCTATAAGAATATATTATTTTTCTACTATGTTAACCACCATACATCATTTTAAACTGAAGGCACGCCTTCGGCTCTTGTTATGATAGTTTTCTTCTCCACGAAAGGTGAACGATGGCATAAACAGATGGTTGTGAATGTACTGAAGCGTCTTTCGTAGAACAAAATACGTCCTAATCAAAGAAGAAATATACAGAGGACGGAATCATACAAATAACCAATGTTCTGGTTGACAACATCTTCGTCGAGTTTGGTGGTAAGGTCTTACAACAGACTTATGGCATACACTTGGGAACTAACTGCATCCCTCTATTGGCTGACTGGTTCGTTTTCGCACGAGGCTGAATTTATTGAAGAGCGTATCAAAACAGGTCACAAAGACATTGCAAAGTCATTTAATTTCACTTTCAGATATATTGGTGACGTCCATCGTATATATCCACCAGACTTGGAACTCAAAGACACGACATTCTACATCAGCTGCTTATCTCGATCTTTTCTTACATCGAAACCGACATGGACAGCTTTCCACCAAGCTGTATGATAAACGTGATGATATCAATTTCTCTATGGTATTTACATGTCACAGTTGAATCGGTATCCAAAGGCCTGTTCTCCATCATCACGATTTTCGTGTAAGAAGTCGTCCAATGACGGGCGAACTCGTAACACAGAAGTTCACAAGATATGAATTTACGACATGATTACGTTGCCATGTTGGTATTTTCTTGATTTTTTTTAGATAAGATGGAATGACAACAGATCTGTATTTTAGAGAAAATCTTGATATTCCCTCGTTAAATGTTTAAATATTTTATACGCAAAAAAGTGAAATCGATAATCATAATTCAACACTTCTAATGACAAGATATACAGCCGAGCGTACCTCTATCGTTCTGTGTGATAAACTGTCGTAATTCATAACATACGCTTTTGAATCCAGATTGACCCACTGACCCATAAACAAGTTTGTACCTAGAAATGCTAAAGAGCGTTAACCACAAATATAGATCTTCAAAATAATATAATATTAAAGTAAAGGAAATAATTTATTGAGCTGTAAACATTATACAAAAAGTTAAATAAGACGAGTGTTGACGTCAAATGCAATGTCTATATGATTAACATCAATATAAGCGTCATTGATTTTCTTTTTAATATAATCATTTTAAAGTAATATACATGAATGTGAGAATTCTAAATGTTCTAGGTTTCGACAAAGGAGTATGTATAGATAGTATAACAGACATACTTGTGAATAACAAAGTTCAATACTTTACAGTTGGATGCAGTTTAGCCAAACAATGTCTCAAACTATGCCATACATATTCGTACATCTAGGACTCATCAGTGATGATTAATCTAGGAGTCTACTGAAGAAAATAAAAAAATCGAAAGAAATAACAAAAGCTAGAGTTGAAGGCACGTCAGCCCAATATATCAATTTTCTTATATCTGATAATTTCAGAAGAACGTCAATCACATGTTTAAGTTACAGCAATGAAGTAAAATGTGGCATTATGTCTTTAATCTCGGGGACAACATTGTCAATCACCTCCGATCCTTTAAAGATATGTTTTAACCTGTGGATAGTTTATCATCACCTATTAAGAGTTTTATAATCACCGTTTACAATAATTTGGTCGGGTTTTTGTTGAAAATTCAATTTAAATTACTAGTAGTATATCGCTTCATGATATAACGTACCCTGTAAAGATAAATTATTCATCGATCTGTTAAAATGTCAACTAAGCTGCAAAATAAACTGAAATATAATAAAATCATGACGATAATGTGAACTTGACTTTCTTCTAAACTAATATGAACCTTGAAATTCTTTGAATTAGGCGGATAGTACCTCTTCCAATCCGGGTTTTAACATCTCTTTCAATCACTGTAGATTTTCTCGACTTCATGTATTAGGCCCTTATATCACTAACAAGTCCTACCTGTATGGACGAAATAGTTGTATGATGCAGTTTATTTTATTGTTTGACTCGACTGTATCTACCTATGTAAAGTATTAAAAGGTGCTATTTAAGTTCACGTCATTTATACAATATGAGAGACACCTTTATGACTTTTAAACGGCCATCGTCCCTTATCATCCTTGAGAGTGACAATATGCGATAATCTCCATTATTTAGCTCAGCAACCTATACATATGATTTGCCATGCAGCTGTTATATAGAAATCATTAACCAGAATTGACCCAGTGACCTATAAACGAATGATGTCAATCGGAATGTAACCTTGAATCGATTTTCGATACAGTTGTAGCTGAGTGCTTTTGACTTAAGCTATGTTTGAAATATATATATATATATATATACGACAAATACTGGACTACACGGTAATGGTTGATCTTAGTCTCCTTGTTCTAGGTAATGATTAAAACGATTCTTCAAACAAAACCCGAAAAAAGTGAAAAGTCAGTTCCCATCACTGAAGTGAGTACGAAGATTGCAAAACGAACAAATTCATATAGAATGATATTATTTTCAGCTACACAAAAGTTCTCGCTTATATGTAAATGTAGATGTGCAGTGAACAAAAATAAGTTGTAATAATTTACATTCGCCTTACACTTCATCAAAATACTGTATACCTAATTTTTTTGTCGACGTCGGCGAGGCCAGGATACGATTCGTCACCCATATTATCATTACTGGATATCGTTTAGCTACTTGCAGGGTCAAACTGTTTGGTCTAATAACATAATTTACTCCTAAGTCGTTTTATGATGCGGGATATGGCCGATTTAATGTATACAGTCTTCGGAAACAATACTTCTGAACAAGTTTCTGTCGGCAGAATTGACGTTACAATTGATTGACCAATGATAATCCTTGCTTTTCAGAAGGGAAATAATTCTAGATATTTTAACTTCCCCGGGTGTATACAGTTAGAAATAGTGTTACCTGTACAATATGCTGACCACTCTTATAAAGACATAACCTAATTATTTTTTACGAAAAAAATAACTTTTTATTTTCATTGCCGTTGACCTTTAATACAGAAAAGGGGTCACTACTAATTAGGTGGGATGTTTTGAAAAAATGGCATTTGAGTTAACGATGGAATAATATAAATCAAAGAACACGAAGTAGCTTTATTAATTCGTAACTGTTTCTAATTTGTTATTTGATTTATTGCTCTAACTACATCCCTCTGTTGCCTGACTTGTTACTATTATTTTTTTTGTATACGAAGCTGATTATATTGAAAAGCTTATCAAAACAAGTCACACAGACATTGCAAAGTCATTAAATTTCACTTTCAGATACATTCGCCAGAACTGGAAATCAATGATGCGACTGACTCGTCGATATCAGCTGCTTATCACGATCTTTTCATGCAACGAAACCAACATGGACAGCTTTCCACCTATCTGTGTGATAAACGTGATGATTTCAATTTCTCTATTGTAAATTTACAATTTCTGGATAGCAATATCCCCGCATCTCCAACCTATGATATTTACATTTCACAGATGATTTAATATTCAAGGGCTTCATCCCATTATCACGATTCTCGTGCAAGAAGTCGTCAGCTGACAAATACGTAACACAAGGGTTCAAAATATGCAGGCCATACATTCTTTGTGTGACACGATGCTGGACGTATTGGGTGCTCGTTAGTTTGTCTGTTGGTTCCGTTGTTGTATAACTTATTCTCATTTGAGAATATGACATTATTAACTTGGATTAATCAAGGTTTACATTGCGGATGTCGTCGATGAAGCACAAAATGCTTACTTTTCCGTAACACCTGGTCTTATTTTCCTTGAACTTTTTCAGGAGTCTCCATGTAAATATTCCCTTTATTCATATTTTGCTCTAGTTTTCTGGAATTTGAATTTGAATTATGATTATGTTGCCATCTTGGTATTTTCTTGATTTTGAAGATAACCTGTTTATTTATAGTATGAGTATTGATTAAGTCCCCGAGATTTGCCGTAAGTTGCATTCCACGTTTTCATGTTTTATATTGGAATATGCACATTTACTTGTCGTTCTTTTAAAATCATTATAAGACATATAAAAATTACGAAAATTGTTAGATAATGGGACCAGTGTATTCATCTAGATATTGACATTTACTGGACATTATAGATCATTCCGATACGAATTTAGATTGATATGGAGTAGACTGAAATAATGGTAAACTCAAATTATTGATTAAACTGCACTGTACAACTGCCTCGTCCCATTAGGTCTTGAAAATTAACTTGGTCACTGACGAGTCTTAGAAGAGCGAAACAGTCGTATAATGCAGTTTCGGCTCTTCTGTATCTGCCTAAATTTGTATTGAAGGTACTATTCACAATGTGTGTCTTTTGTACAAGATTTGCGCGTGAAAAGAGAGGCACGGTTCAGAATATACACATGTTTTGGTGAATTTCGATTTTCTTAATTCGCCTCTCTTCGGCTTCAAACTTTAGGTTCTTAGTATCACTGACGAGTCCTAGAAGGACGAAACTGCTGTATGATGCAGGTTGCTTTATTGTTTGGCTCTTTGTATCCAGCTGAATTCGTTAGAAAACAGCTTATTCACATTTGTGTATTTCATTTTATCTTTAAAGTAGTTTCGTCTATAAGACCTCTTTTTGCTTTGGAAGGAAATAATACGAATTTAAAAATATGATGAATAATCTTTCGTTACAGCTGGCATTTTAAATCCATATACTTAAACTCGTATAAAACCAATTAACACGAGTAAAAGAGCAAATTGCAAATTTCTAATTAAAATTATTTTTATATCGTTTCAACTGTGAAGACATACTTCTTTTCAATAAACTGTTAGCTTTTGAAGGTCAATAATTATGTGTCTGCAGTTCAAGTAGATTGACTTTAAATTATAAATCCTAACAATTTATGCACTAGTAGAACAATGAATATCTTCCCAAAACGTTGTTTGAAAGCAACTTCCAATACAAAGGTAGCATTTGATACAGGATAGCCAAGAAATGAAATTATCTGCTATTTCCTTCTAAGATTTGTTATTGAAGCGGAAGAGTTTTTGATTCCACGGAGGTTTCTTATGAAAATCGAAATTGGCGGTGGAAATAAAAGTTATATAAAAAAGGGGGAGGGGCACTGAACCCGAAATTGATTTGAATTATTAAATTTTTTTAGTTAAACCAGCCATTCTAATATTGTGGTATGACATTGCTAAATTATTTCCGAAATCTGATTGCTAGGCGTCAGTTAATACCGGCATGGCAGCTGAAATACATTTCAGATTTAACCTTAATTGATATGTTGGTATTTTCTTGTTTTTTATTTTTATTTTTTTCTAAGACAATTGTTTACAGCTGTGAGTGGCATGATTTGACAGACTTTCATTACAATTGTAATAATCGTGAAAACTCCAAGGACATCTTTTTCGTTTCTAATATGTATTTTGTCACCAATATAATATAATAATAATAATATAATTCTAATAATGATTTGAAGTAAAGTGTCAATGACATTTTCATTTTATACTGGCATTAAAAATAATGGCTTTTTATGTCATGATGGTGTAATTTCTCGATGTGTATTGAAAAAATGATAAAAGCAATTTAAAAATATTATATCTTGCTTGGATTATATCTATAACATTCATCTGTTTTTAACTGCATTATAAACAAACTAAGAATAACATTCAAGTGTTTTTTCAAATATACAATTATTTGTCAATTCATTAGAAGACTATTTTGTTGCAAATTGCTCGAAATAAATATTCCGGGAGTTATCTCCCTTGGACTTCCCTGTGTAATGTATCGAATACGTTTTGTTTGAACATTTCATAGACTATTAAATAAACTCAGGCCATCAATTCATGCGCAGTTAATCTAATATTTGGTTGGCTAAATCGTTTCTAAATATAAATTTGTTTTGAAAGGTGTTATTCGCTTGGGTGTCTCATCTTGAGGTATTTAAACTATATATCACGTTCATACCAATAATGGTTGATGATGGGATGTTGTTGGGGAGTTGCCAGAGAACCGCTGATACAGCTATATCTGTTACATTTCTCCAATAAAGATGAGGTGTTCTGTATAAGGGTTCAATATAGAAATACCATTTATACTTATTATTTATCAAATCTCATTGAATAATATACATATTAATTGTTCGACAATACATACTGATATATATTTTCCTAAACTCACCAGTATTGATAACCTAAACCTCACTCGCCCCGAACATCACAATTTGATAACATCACATGCAGAATGTTTCATTATCCTCCCATCATCCTCCAGGCAACATAAAGCATAAAAGTCAAAGAAAGCATGTCGATTGTCATCAATGATGCAGTTGTCTAGCCTGCAAATGAATGTACAGCTCTATTAATGACGATAACAAAATAAACATGTAAATACACAATAATCATGTTATGTTTGACATGTTCTTGTTAGGGAATGTTACATTGTTAATTGTGGATTGATCAGTATGTAAATTGAGGATGTCGTCGATGAAGCTAAAGACGCCCATTCCTCCGGAACATCTGGTATTATTCTCCCTGCACTGTTCCTAAGTCGGCCTCCTTTCATCGAGTTCCAGTATAAATTAAATTTCTGATTAAATGTTCGGTATTTACCATTTGAAGTTTTGAAAATCAATGACAACTTTTTCAGTTTCTTAAGTTAAATTAAACGAAGAAGAAAGACAGAGGGTATGAATCCTCATTTTACGACAGTCTTCACAAGAGAAGGCTACCAACTGACTAGAGGGCATTGACGATATGACGACCCTAAATAACAAATGCTAACGCCTAACAGTATTTTAACAGAGGTCAATACAACCTGATAGAGGAATAACCATAACGAGAGAGAGAGAGAGAGAGAGAGAGAGAGAGAGAGAGAGAGAGAGAGAGAGAGAGAGAGAGAGAGAGAGAGAGAGAGAGAAAGAGAGAGAGAGAGAGAGAGAGAGAGAGAGAGAGAGAGAGAGAGAGAGAGAGAGAGAGAGAGAGAGAGAGGGGGGGGAGGGAGGGAGAGATCTTCATTTTTCATTTCACATAAATCATCAGTCTGTTAAAGTGTTTTAAATTGATATGAATGTAAATGAAAAGTCTTGAATGATAGGCAAACAGCATCATATCATTTATTAAATAAACAACAATTCCCTTAAATATCAATAACAAAACTGAACATCATCTCACTACAATCGTTCGTATCTTGATCATCAATGTAAATGAAGCGCCAATACATTTTGAAGACAATCAATTACTGTCGCTGTTCTTTATGAAGCTAAAACATTATGACTTGAAGTCAGAGCAACTGAACATACCACTTATCACACATAATATTAATCACACATACCTCTAATCGCACATACCACTAATTACACATACCACTAATCGCACATACCACTAATCACATATACCACTAATCACATATACTTCCATTCACTAAAAGTAAAAGCGGCGATTGTCTAAGTAATCTTTTCAAAAACAATCAGCCCTGTATTTGAGCTTCGTATAACAAAAGAACGGAAACTAAATCACCATCAACTAAAGACCAGTATCAAAGAACAAGTCATTCGTCAAGTATATAAACACAAAACCTAGTTGGTATATAAACTCAATATTGCATAAAACAGCTCATTTGATCATTAATTTAGGATCCAGTTCAACTGCACAGTCTAGGCTTAGGCTTTTAATAATCACAGCTCTCTAGCTTTTGGTTGGAATGTTACTTATTTCGTTCCAAAAATCCTTTGAACAATACTATGTTTTTTCTTCTTTTGTTTCAAAGAGCATTGAACAACATCCTCAAATACACCCTGAACACAGTCTTGATTTGACGATGAACATTCAATGAAACTAAACGCTCCTATTTCTTCAGCCATATGATGTCCTTCGGCTTTACTTACTGGGATATCCTGATCGAGGTCAATTGATTCTCGTAAGTCAACCTGAGTTGCAACCAACACTAGATTTAATCGTTTTCCCATAATGTACGTCACTTCCGGTAACCATCTCGATTTTATATTATCAAATGATTCTCTGTCCATTACACTGTAGCACATGACGAATACATCACTGTCTTTGTAAGCAAATAGCCGGATACTTTCATGGTCAGTCTGCAACCGAAAAAAATACAACATGACATTATAACAGTAATTAAAACTAAAATAAAATTATTCAATATTACTTTAAAAGACGACGCGCCATTAATAAGGAGAGTGAAAAAAATTAGTATGTGTCTTTATTTCAAACAATAAGGCAGTATTTTAAACATTAAAAAAGGTAAAATTTGGTATTAAAGATATTTCGTTCTCAAGATATATTGAAAGTTGTTATCTATTTGTGTGGCTTCCGTAGTATGAATCAAGCATTATCTGATTGGAAAACATTCAGGATGATAAACCAATTACAATGAATTCACGAATTTAAGTGAAGAGTTTTGAAACTTACCTTGCTAGAACAATCAAATACACTTATTGTGAATTCTTGATTTGAATACTTTGATGTACCTGGAATAAAAAGAAGATTTTTGATAAAATGTATAATCTGATTATTTGATTAATTTCAGAAAAAAAGTAAGGTAAGGATAGTAGAAACGTTCATAAACTAAATGAGTAAATGAAATTTGAAACATTTAAAATCTGTTCACCGGAAGAAACTTCTGAAAATGGTAGGCAATTTGAAATTTCAGGTAAGTGTGCATTTAGGAAAGAATATACAATATACAAAACATGATTTTGTAAATACATCTTTATGATTTTTTGTTTTTTTAATCAAGATCGTTGTAGATAATTACCTGCATAATTTTCGAACACTGTATCTGCTGGAGGTTTACAGCACGTGTTGTCAGTGTAAGCCCTAATAAGGGACGTCTTTCCCACAGCCGCATCTCCCACAAGTGTGCATTGTATGCACTTAGCTTCATAGATATTGCTGGTAACCATGTTTTCGTTTGCTTCAATATTGCACTGTTATAAATGGAGGGTAATTCTTAAAACTTTTCAAATTACAGTCCTCGCCTTTTGCAATAAACCATGTATCTTTTGATACGATAATCTATAATGATTGGTAATTAAAACACTTTTTCTCTAAGGAAACCTTCCACAGGCATGTGCTTGCCTCTTTTGAATATTCCATATGCTTAAACAGTAAAGGTCCTCTCCTCTTGGCTGATGAACGATCGTGTGTATCGCACACTGTCCCAGTCTTATTTATATAGCCGTACGATCGCTAAATGTGTTTACTCTAGACTTTCAAAAACACTACATCACGTATCCTAGTCTTGTCATTGTATGGCGTGTTATTTATACAAAGTAGTATACTCACATACACTGCCGACGGTTAGAGACCAAACCCACATAAAGGCTAATGATAACAAATTAATTAGATTCAGTGCAAAAACATCTCACATCCCACACGTTTGTTGCCGAAATTCTCTTTCTTGCTAGGTTCATATCTCTCTCTCGGTACGTCAGTTAGTACAGAAATGGTGAACTCTGAATGGGAATGGTCTGTTAACTGCGTGGCATTAATATCGTGATGGAAAGTGCTTAAGCTCCAGTGCACGCCGCCAATGCCAGAGATTTACAGAACCCATTATAACAGAGCAGTTATTGTTTCTGTACTCATGTAATCTACGTCAGCGAGAAAGAACATTTCCTTTTTTCGTTGAAGCTGTGAACATTTTTGTGGTGCGGGGGAGTAACGGCAAGTATCCGGCGGCCTATTCGAACTAGATAGTTCCATTAAGAAAATTTTTAACTAAACCGCCTCGAGAAACAATATGCTTTATTGCCATTTGTTCCTTTTTGTAGCTCCCGATTCGTGTCGATGATATTATGCTTCAGTACAGAGGCAGCTGTTTTTTGTGAGACAAACAACCAAATTTTATGTGTCAGCCACCTGCTCCTTAAGTTTTTGTTCCTTACATCTTCGTCCGTTATGTAATATGTGCAGCATTAAGAAAGTCTACTTCCGGTTTCATGGTGCCATCCTTTGACCGATTTTCTAACTAGAGCTATTAGAGATGTCTATAGATTGAGTGACTAGGTAATCTTTGACTGAGTGCTTAGTTGATATTGATCGATGAATTGATTGATTGATTATTGGCTGGAAGACTGATTGATTGATTGATTTTTGATTGATTGATTTATTGATTTACGTAAAAATGTAAACTACATCATGGAAAAATACAAATGGGAACGCAGTGTTTTAACATCAATTTCTTTATGTCTTAAGATGATTTTCGAACATTTTGATCTGTTTTATAAATCAAAATACACAGTGAAAGCAATGTATTCCAACTAGTCTGAGATCTGACGTAATAAAATCAATCAGTCATTTCACAAATTGTCATTGCAATATTCTGAATTATTAACATTATATACATATAAGACAAAACATTAGTTGAGATTGCCGTTTTAAGGCACAAACGATCAGTCAATGACTCGGTCCACACAGGTGAACATCCGAACAAATCTTGAACTCATTGCTGTGTTTGATGATCTGAACATGCAAGAAACACACGTATTCTTGCTCTTCTTCCGTTCACTAACCCTGTTATTGTTGATATTTCAAAGCGAGAAACGTGTGTGACTATTAAACATTGACTCTCTTATCAGTATATCCACCCTTCTCTTACGACAGACATATGCAACATGTGGAACCTCTTTACAGACATCAATATTGTTGTATTACAAGGGATCTTTGTAAACACAGCCGTCAATGATAATGTGCTTTATTGCCTCTAATAACCATTGTCTCAGGTGTAAGAAAACGTTAATGATATTTTCAAAGAATTATTTTTTCTGCAGTAAGTATTTCGTCCATGATGTAATTTTTCTTGCGCCACATCTATCTTTTAATATTGATTGTTGTTTTCTTGTTGTTACTAAACATCGCCAAATTCTCATATTCTTTTACAACCCATCTTATTATTGCCTGAATGTCTAAAATATACAAATACGAATTCAATGTTAAATGAGAAAATAAATGAAAGAAGCAATCAGTTTAATGGAATATCGTAGAATGTGTTTATTTTTTCTGAAGCAGGAGATATTTCCAACTAATAGTATTATGTAAATATTTAACTGGGCGCTCCTCCCAAGAGGGAAACGGCATGGCAGCAGAGGTGCGTGCTATATAAATATATACCTACTTATTAGTACGTTTAACCCTCTCTAATATTGGTTTAGTTAAACAGAGACTTCCTAAGGTACTTTAACCTTTAATAGATCATTGATACCGGTTATGTCTTTTGAGGATTTTAAGGTCAATGTTTTTCGAAATTGAGAAGAAAGAGAATATGACTATTAATTATGTAGTTGATAGACTTATTGATAAAGATTTAAAGATTACAAAACTTGAATGTTGGATTTACAGAATTATTTCAATGATAATAGTTTGTATAAGACACATACATATATAATAACCTTCGATAGAAATTAAGAGTAAAAACGTAAAAGTGGTAAAATATTAGGCCGCAATATACCTCTTATACTGCTCGTCTAGAGAGAGCATCCCTTCAGCTCGATCGGTTGAGCGTCAGGCAGACAAGGCAGAGGTCCCGGGTTCGAATTCTTGCAGTGGTATTGAAATAAATAATGACATCTGTTACATACAGTATAGTCAAATAATTGTTAAATAACCAGTACCATACTGCCGTTTTATCCTTTCAGGACGAGTTAGTTGTATTAGGTGCCTTAAGTGATGGAGGGCGACTGAGAAAATATATATAATTTGGTCGAAACAAAAGTTTAGCGCACAATCGATAACATATTCTGATTTTGAAACTACTAGTCATTCTATTTGCAATTAATATATATCAAAATAAAGCTTATCCCTACTTGATTAATATTCTTGGTCTCGAACGCAAATCAGCTGTTTGTTCATATATCTCAAAGGTTTGCTGGAAGTCTCTTGGTTATTCTTATTGATCGGTAGGCTATAGTGCAGTTTGATCAGGAGTTATTCTCAACAGAATTAGGTAGGCTATAGTGCAGTTAGATCAGGAGTTGTTCTCAACAGAACTAGGTAGGCTATAGTGCAGTTAGATCAGGAGTTGTTCTCAACAGAACTAGGTAGGCTATAGTGCAGTTTGATCAGGAGTTGTTCTCAACAGAACTAATGTTATTGCCAATTAAATGTCTGGCTTTAACAGTACAAAGTACAATGGTAATATCTTATGTGGTACATTAAGTGTATTGGATAAATATCAACGTTTCCATTGTTTTAGAAAACAAAACGTATTTTACTGCTCTGGTTAGCGAGGACAATAACTTAAGACATTGTTTTGCAAAGCGTTATGATGACCAAGACACGTGTTTAAACAACAGTCGGTATTGATCAAGGCCGTTTGATTAACGATAAAATACCGTCATATAATTTTGATGTGTTCCAAACAAATATGGCACTGTGACGTCATTGATGTCAGCTGTAAAAAGGATTTCTGGCATTCGAAGGAAATATAGAACCCAAATGACACGGATCGAAGTAAACGTGCTCAATGGCATTTACAAAATACTACACAAACAGATCCTTCAAATTGACAACCAAAGATAATTGACATGTTGTTTATTCAGAAATGCATAACATTCTGTGATATATTCGTACAAAATAGCTACGGAAATATTTACAAAATCAGATTTGTGTTAAAACAAATGACATGTTTCTTTGGCAAAGCGATAAGTACAATTTAGTGTGTTCGAATAACTTGTGTCATAAAGAAAAGGTCAATTAAAACCAATGCATATTTGAAACATTTCAATCAAATTACAGTCAGTTATAGGCTATAATACAGAAATCTTATACACGTCAACATTTTGAATTTGATTTAGTATCAGATGAGGGTTGGATTTAATGATAACTGGATTCAAATAACGAATTGTTATAAGTAGAGTACACTCTGACTTTTGTTCATGGTTCCATAACGTAAAAATAATTGAAGTTGGCACGTTTATCTTGATATATCCTAAACACTCCTAAACATGTTTTTTTCAATAATGACCCCGTTTCTAGAAGGACGAAACAGCTGTATTTTTGACCCTGCTGTATCATATTTTAAATTTGCTTTGAAAGATGTTATTCATTTATATGTCTTTTGTACAATCTTTCATTTTGCGGATGGCAGAAGCAGCTGGTGGACTTCTCGAAGTTTGCCGCAGCCTGCATGCCAAGTTTTGATTTGTTAACATATGACTGGGTTACAATCCTTTTTTCCTCTTCAACATTTCATCCTTTTTTCACTCCATATAGATTTGGTGACGGACTTTCAGTGACCTCTCCTTTATTCGTTTGTTTCATCTCTATTCAAGCACTGTTTAAAATATCTGTATTGATTCTTTTTGCTTAAAACTATAGAAATAATAATACTCAAATGATAATAGATAAAAACATTCTGACCGTACTGATATCATTTCAATAGAATATCACAAAAATGGGTCTTTCCGCGGAAATTCATATCTAAGCAGCAGTAATACAGACCTAGCACGTTACTATAATCTTCTACTAAACAAACATCACATTGACAACTTAAGTACGTTATCATTTCCCTGAGTGATTGCATGAGTATGCGTCATAATTAGTAAGATTACTTGTCAAACCTCTATTTAACTTTATCATGTCATTTGATGTGATTGTTTGCTTGATGACGCTGTGAATGTCAATTTCAAAATGTTTCGTATCACTCAAGCCATGCGCATCGACGCGTGGTAATACAGGTTAAGACTAGATAACCTCGGCAATTCTTATCAGCATAAGATTCTATCTATACGTATCTATAAGTTAATATGATTTAGATTAATGACAGCCCGAATGTTAATATAAGATCATATCTATATATAATATCACATTAAATTAACGAGGTGTCAGACATGCTACGTGCATCTCCTGATCTATTTCCTTAGTCTCAATTTGTATATTTCAATATAGATATCGACAAGACATTTACAAATAAAGACAGACATTTATACGTCGTCAGTCTGGTTGTCATTACTTCTGTGATTTATTTTGGGCGGAACATTTCACTGTTCTTGATATCATACAACCATTTATTGTTGTTAATATTTTAAAATAGCTTTCAAATTGTACAGTGTCTATAGTTCCCTTCTGAAAAAACTTACAAACCGTGTAAATTATCAAAAAATACACCAAAGGACACTTTCAATTGTCCAATGATAAAACTAACCATCTGCTTATCTCGAAAATTCCAAATAATCACGTCTCAATTGTTTTCAAATCAGATACACTCAATTTTAATCGTGACAATATCGTTTCTCTGACTTTATCAAGTTTTTCTGACTTGAGATGAATACTCAAATACTTTGCCTAGTAGATATCATGTTTTTATTTTAGAAAATGTC